ACTAGTTCGATAGAAGTTGCTGGGAGCAAGGAAGCCGTTCTTTCCAAAGCCCTTGGCTTTGCAGCCAGACTTGCTATGTCAACAAAGTAGGAGCCAGGAGCTTCTTGCCTTCCTGTTCTATCCTCCCCCTCCTCCCTCCAGCTCAGTGGTCCCTGTCCCTGGCCAGCCGCATGCACACGAGCGCACACATGGACACACATGCACGCTCACGCACAAACGTGTGTGCACAAACACAGACACTTTAGTTTGGGTTATTTGGGTGGGGAATCTGAAAGAAGGAGGAGGCAGTATCCAGATGGGTTACAGCCAGGAGTATGTTTTCTTTTTCTTCTTAATCCAACCAAGAACGCAAACTCCGGAAACCCAAGGGCAGCCCAGCTCCAAGCTATTTACTCTGCCCTCGAGCTTGTTTCCATCTCCCAGGAGCGTGGACTTCTTCACGGGGCTTATAATTCTTGCTAAAAAATGTAGATTCAGTTTACCGGTGGAAAGGCTAATTCTCAGCAGGCGGTCAAACCTCAATGAACCAGCTGGAAGCCCTATCTCCTCCAGGCAAGAGAGCTTCCCTGAATCCCCCAGTGTTTCTGTACATAGAGTGGTCTTTGCAGCCGCTCAAACTCTAAGTGAAGGCCGGCTTTCAGGTCTCTCCTCTTAGGGAAAGTGGAAGCAGCCACACTTCTTGGCATCTCAAACAAACCGTCCCCCAACTGTAGGTATACAAACCTCCAACCTGAGTCCAGGTGGAATTAAGTTCCTTCCAGGTTCATAGCTAGGGTAACTAGCACCAGAGATAATCTGTAAACTGATCGCCCCCTCCTATTTCAAGATGCATCCCAGTGGAGTCTGACTCTGAACAACCTTCGGGTCAGGCCTCTGAGGCGGTAAATCTTTATGGGAAGAGCTCGTTCACCTTTCTGCTGGTGGATTTGTACTGCCAACCTTCTGGTTAACAGCCCGACACGGAGACACTATGCCACCAGAACTCCTTTGTTCATAATTATGCCTGAACTCTGAGTTCACTAAGCAAAACTGTTTACATTTTCTCCAACAATTTCTGAGCCTGAGCCTCAAGCAGTATGGGGCTCACCTCCTCTGAGTGGTTTCACACAGTGCCCAGAAAAGCAGGGCTGGGTAGCAGGTCACCAAGTCAGGTGTCTGCAGTTACCTAGCTTCACTGCACGGTCCCTCCGCATCCATCAGACTCTGCATGCTTGGGGCCTGAGCAACTTTTACAAGAAGGTCCTGACTAGAAACCCCAACAATTTGATACACCTTGTACCGATTTGTCATTGATCTTTCATTGTCTGAACATCTGTATGGGGGACAGATGCTTCAAGAAGCCGTACTCCATTCTGTCTGTGCTTAGTATTCTCAGATCTCCCTCCATCTACTCACCCCTCTTATACAATACAGGGGACTTTGGGGGTGAGGACAGAGGCAGGGTAAAATTCTTAACCTTAAATTTTTTTTTCAAGTTATCCAGTTTGGGGACCTTAAATCCTCTTGCCGGATTGTAAAGCAAAATCCACAAAGATCTGTCTACTGTTTTTGACTCAGACATGAGTCAGTTCCACCTCAACAGCAATTAGTTTTAGGTGATGGCACCAGATAGGGAAATGGTCAGCTCCTTTGTTCATAGTCTCTATGACTGTACTCAATGGCAACTAAAGTTGTGGCATATGGTCTGCTTGCATGAGACTAGGCAATGAGAATAAAACCCAGGCTTGTGGCTCAGCCCCTGGAAACCTCTTCCTGTATCTATGAATTCATCTACTCTACTTCATATAAGCAGCTCTGGTTGCCTAGTGGATTAGGGATTTGTGCTGCCATCCCAAAGGTGGTGCTGGTGGTGGTGGTGGCAATGTGCTGTTGAGTTGCCTGCAAAATGACCCTGTGTACAACAGATCTAAACCCTGCTCTATCCTGTGCCAATCTGTCTCTGATACTCCTACCCTCATTACCCCAGTCACTGAATCCATCCATTTCATCGAGGGTCTTCCTCTCCTGCACTGTCCCTTCCCCCTCCCAAGCATGATGTCCCTCTCCAAGAACTCGTCCCTCCTTGCAACATGTGCAAATTATGTTAGATGAAGCTTCGGAGTCCTTGCCTCCAAGGAGCAGCCTGGTCTCACCCTCTCCAGGATGAACCCGTTTGTTCTCCTAGCAGTCCACGGTATATTCAATATGCTTCTCCAGCACCACAGTTCAAAAGCCATCAATCCTCTATCATCTCTAATCATTGTCCAGTTTTCTGATGCATAGCAAGTAATTGCAAAGACCATGGCCTGCATCAGGGGCAATCTTAGTTTCCAGACTGACATTGTTGCTCTTTGGTACTTTGGAGAGGTCTCTGACAGTAGATTTTCCCAATGTAATTTGTCTTTTCCTTTCTTGGCTGCTGGTATCAAGAGCCAAACAAACTAAAGCTGTTAACAATCTCAATCTTTTCACCATTCATCATGCCCATCGGCCCAGTGGTGAGAATCTGTCTTCTAGAAGTTGAGTTTCAATCCACATTGAATGCTGCAGTCCTTGACCTTCTGCAGCAAGTCCTTCAGGCCCAAAGGTAGGCAGTTTGAAGCTACCACATGCTCCAAGGGAAGAAAAATGGGCAGTCTCCTCCCATGTGATTGACAGCCTGTGAAAACCCACTGAAAGGTCAGCGATGAGTCAGCTCCAACTCAAGACCAAGGAGTTGTGGCAGTATTTTCCTTTCCTACAAATTGAAATTATTTGTCCTGTGCCTGGGTTATTATTATACAAGGGTCACCCATGTCACAATATGCATCAAAATCTCATTTTCCTTTAAGTCCAAGTAACATTTTTCTGTGTGGTGACATTTTGTTTATCCATTCATCCACTGATAGACATTCAAATCAAAAAGAGCCTTTCTTTTCAAAGAGCATAACTACACCATTATCATGACTCAAAATTGTTTAATAATTTGTATTATATAAAAGTAAGGCCTTTGTAGATGGCCTGTTCACACATTTCTTGGAGTCTTTGAAAAACAGTGGAAATGTGATCTTCTGTTGTCATGGCAACAGTTTCTGATTTCAGATGTGAGGGTTTTACTTGATTCCATCAACAAAGATGGGGTTAAAAAGTCCTCAGCCTCCCAAAGAGGCAAAAGAACCTTGCTTGGGCTGATCAAAGCCCAATCAAAGCGCAACCTCACACTTTCAAGGGCAATGAAGAGACATTAAGGCCATGGGTGCCTTTAAAGTGCTGTTTCTGCCACTTACTGGCTATCTAATCTTGAGAGGCCAAAAAATGTTAAGTCTTACTTTCCTCACTTCTAAAACGAGTTAAGAAGTTCCTGAGTGGTGCAGCGATTAAGTGCTCTATACAAGCTAAAAGGCTGGTGGTTCAAAACCACCCCAAGGTACCTAAAAGACACGCCTAGTAACTTACAATCTGCTCTGAAAGGGCAAAGCTTTGAAACCCCTGGCCAAGGTTAATACTGTGTCAATGTAATATTTAAAAAAATAAAGAGTTGGTACTGAGTTCACTTGCATGTATCCTAAATCCTCATGGGATTTGAGTCTTTGGTTTGATTTAGAGTAATTGTTTCATTAGACATGCCTGTTAATTGGCCTAATAGCCTATTTAGTGTGGTGCATAATGCCTGGAGTCTTAAAAGCTTACAAGAAGTCATTCAAGCCATGATAATTGGTCTCTCTTTCCCTGGAGCAAGTGAGGAATGAGTCAGGAACAGGAGGAAGATATAGAATGTGTGGCTAATTGTTTCCATAAACTGCTTCCTATGACATAAAAGCAGAACTGGATGTTTCCCAGCTACCATTACTGAACATTTTGATCAAAGATTCCATAGAGGAATCCTGATCAAAAAGAGGCAAATGCAAAACAGAATTTAAAATTCTCCTGGACTTCAGATTTTTGAAAGCTAAGCCATGGGAAGTGGATAAACACTGGAAACTACTACCCTAATATTTAAAACTCTAACCAAAAAAGGTCTCAAGTCCTAGAAAATAAAAATAAAGTCTAGCCTTGAATATTGTGCTCTTTTAAGAACTATCTACACAGCATCAAATTGACAATGTCAACAAACTGTATAGAAATCTTAGGGGCTGTGGAAATTATGCTTATAGAAGAAAATGAGATTAAATGGCTGAACAATTTGATGAATGTAATCAATGTCACTGAATTGCAAATGTATAAATTGTTGCTTTAAGTTTTGCTGTGTTATCTGTGTATACTCTTAAAAAAATCATTCTACATACATGAGGCTGATCGACTCAGAGGCAAGTAAATAAACAAATAATGGGATAAATGAGAACAGGATGTCATGCAGGTAATTACAAGGATTAAAAGAGGAAATGGAAAGTACAGTTTAATATGCTTTTATCCAAATTAAGTGTTCTATAATTCCTGGTTTAATTAATTTCCTATTTCATTTACCAGCATAAAAAAGCCTATGTTACCCAAGTAAATGTTCAATTTCCTCCATCAACAGGAACAGAAATTAGCCACAAGATAACCAACTGCTCTTGGACTGCAATTCCTGGTCAATAACATCAGGCCTGAAGAAGCAAAACTAAAAGCTTCCTTCCTTTCATAGAGTGAGTTTAAGTCTCTACATACAACAATCCTTAAAATAAATCCACAGACTATAAATGAAGAGGTTAAGACCTTGCTCAGAAACATCTATTTAAAAAGAAGGGTTAAGAGGTAAGTAGACCAATAAATAAATAAATAAATAAATAAATTTTTCTACTTTTATTTATAAAGAACACAACTCCTCCTCTGGACACAAACACATACATTCCAAGAAGGAGCCCACAAAGAACATTAACAATGAACAAGAAAAGAACAAGGAACAACAGTGGGGACTGTACTTAATACCAGTCTGTGCACCTCAGACCCGGGGAACCACGAAAAACGCTTCCCCACATCTGACAGCTGACAGGAGGGCGGGGAAAGAAACCTGCACATGGCAGCTCCCTCCCAGCCACAAGGCAGAATGAACAGCTCCATGCTCAATCTTCAGCATCATCAAACTGTCCCGTCTCAAAGACCATCTTAGAATAATGGGGTATCAGTGGAGGTGGATGGTGCCAGCTGGGGTCATAGACCATGTCTCCTTGTGGGGCACAGCAGACCCACGGCTTGATCTCTTGAGAGAGGCTCCCTTGGATGTCATCAGCATCTGCAGGCAGTTTTAAAAGACAAATTAAAGGCAGGAGGGAAGGGAAAATAGCCTCTTTCTAAAAGGAAAGAAAAAAGTCTAGGGAACAAACCACATAATTTGCACTTTTTGTTTGAAACAGGCATGCATACACAGAGAGCTCGTTCCTTCCTGTAGAATTAATATGCAAATTCTAATCCGCCAGCTGCTCCACAGGAGAAGGATGTGCAATCTCCTCCCATGTGCTTTACTGTCTCTGAAAACCCTCTGGAGGGTCAGTTATGGATCAGTTCTAACTCAAAGGTACACACAACAAAAACAAAAGCCAATCTGGTGGCTTAGGAATTGCACTAACAGCCCAAAGAAACTTGGTTTGGATCCACTAGCTGCTCCAAAGGAGATAAGACAGGTAATTTCTCATGTCACCTACTGTTTCTGAATATCTGCTGGAGGATCAGCTATGCATCTAACCCCACAGTACATAACAACAACAAAGCCTTCCACTCTTATACTTCTCAAGTAAGGGCTTTTGGTTTTTAAACTGGTTTTTATTCAATCATACATATATACTGTTACAATTAATTACAACTGATCAATGCCATTTATTATCTTATCTTATAATAGCTTCACTGTACCTTCCCCTTCTCTTCACCCAAATAAGGGCTCTTGATAAGACAAAGGCCATTAATAGGTAACAAAGCCCTCATGTCTGTGGCTGCTCAATTTAGCCATGTTTTTTTGAGACTAATAATCCTTTTAAGTTGCAGCAAATGGATACAAGAGTCAAATTCAAAAAGTGCATGTCTTTCTGTCAATGAAAGAGAAGTTATTATCAGAAATGTTAGGCTTGTAACATTTATCTGGCTAAGCTCAAAGACGCTGATCCTTTCTCCAAACTACCTGCATTGAAGGACAGTAGGAAAGCCAAGGCTGAGAAGTCCCAGCCTAGAAGCCCTGAAACCCCACACCTACCATAGGGATTCCCTTGATCGCTTTTCAACTCCAAGTCCCAGTCCTCATGGAAAAGGCCAGCCGTCTCTTCCTTGGGCAGGCCACTGGAAACCCCTCCAGGCAGCGCCCAGGCATTGGGCTCCCCATCAGAATCCTCACCATCCAGAGGAAAGCCTTCCTCATCAGAAGGGGCACCCTCATCATGGAGAGGAATATCATTAGGGATGCTCTGTGCTCCGCTGGCTAAGGAAGCAACAAAAGGAAAAAGATCTTAAAACAATGAGCAAACCAAAGAGAAGCTATCTCCTACTTAGAGAGAGAGAAAAGCTTAATAACCAGTTGTCAATGCTGCTGTTAGCTGTTGCTGAGACTATTCCAGCGCAGGAAAACCCCCATGTGCAAAGCATTGCTCCACTGGGTTTTTAAGACCTGCTGGAAGCCGATCACCAGGCCAGTCTTCTGAGGTGCCTCTGAGTGGACTGGAACCCTAACCACCAACCTTTTGGCGAACAGTGTGGTGCTTAACCATCTGTGCTGTCCAGGGACTTGTGGTGCAGATGAGGAGGGAGGCATAATAACAAACCACTCATATATAGCTTTAGAATAAATTTAGGGAAAAATAAAATTGACAGACTCAGTAGAAATACAATAAACAAGTGTTAAAAAGTTCCTACCCATCTGAGCACTAATATTTTGTTTACATTTTCAGAAGTAGGGCTGATCGTTTATTTTCAGATGTTTTACCTTAAACAAGGCCATAATATGCCAAGCCTTGTAATCCACGCCAAGGAGCCAGGCAGCTTGCATTTATAGGAATATTTACATCATTAAGGGGAGCTCTGTTGGTTTAGTAGTAAGGAATTGCACTGCCAATACAAAGGTACACAGTTTGCATCCACCAGCTGCTCCACTGGAAAAGGATGAGCATTCATCTCCTGTGTAATTTACTGCCTCTGAAAACCTGCTGCAGGGTCAGCTATGACTTGGTTCAAACTCGATGGTACACAACAACTCACATCACTGACGCATAAAGCCTCTGGCCAAAGCTCCCCTTCCACAGCACAAGCTCCTCTTCCTCCCTTTATCCTCAAAAAACATGTCCATGCACTCGGGTACAAGGGGAGAGTAGTGGCAGGAGCACAGACTGAAGAGCAGAAGCCATCACAGCACAATGTCTCTTCTTCCTGGCTCAGAACGCCTGCAAGGGGCGTTTCCAAGAGCTCTCAAAATGAGGTGATAAGAGTCTGGGAAGGGAAAACAGGCCTCCAAGCACATGGTGCTGTGGTGATGCCATTTCAGATGGCGGGAAGGAAATCGCCTCAGAACGGGTCAGGGTGTCAACATTCATAACAGTAGCAGCTAGTAAGCAATGAAGTTAACAGTTAAAGGCAGATGAGGATGGCCTGGGTTCAAATATCAATTTTGCTAATTACTGAATAAAACTGGTCCAAATTTATATATCTCTCTCGTGCCTCAGTTCCCTCATCTAAGAAATGGAGCTAGGTCTGTCGTGAGTTGAGAAGGGGAAGGAATGGGGTGGTTTAGAGGAACACTGCTCCAGGCACTCAGTGAGTACTATTATCCTATTATGAGTATCCTATTATGCGCTGTGCTTTATTTACCAAGAGCAGCACTGCCCAATAATACTTTCTATAATGGTAGCAATGTGTTACGGTTTATGCTGTCCAACAGGTAGCTCAAGCCATGAGTAGCTACTGGATACCTAAAAAAAGGTGGCTAATACACAAGCCCTGATGGTGCAGTGGTTAAAACGCTTGGCTCCTAGTCTCAAGGCTGGCAGTTTGAATCCACCAGCCTCTCCAAAGCGGCAAAAGCACTAGAAACCCTACAGAGCAGTCCTGTACTGCTGAAACCATCACTGTGACTTGGAATTAACTCTGTGACAGTGATTTTTTTTTTTTTAGTTAGTACAACTAAAGGAACTGAATTTTCCATTTGATTTTATTTCCACTGAAACACTGGATGCTAATGATTATCCTACTGGGCACTGTCATTTTAGATCCTCTCACTCAATTCTCACAGCAACTTCTGAGGTAGGTATTATTACCACCTTTAAAAATGAAGACAGGCTAAGATTCCTTTGCAAGGCCATAAAGCTCAAGCTCAGGACTATCTCACTGGAGCTGAAATCAGAAAGAGTTTTGCCTTGCTCCAAAGATGCTCCTTCCACTGTCCCACACAGTTTCTCTCAAGAGAAGCAATGAGTTTGAGTGTAAGAAAACTCCAGGGATTCCAAACAAGGGCATTACTGAAACAGTAAGCAGAGACATCAATGTGCAAAGAAGGCAAGGACTGGCTGGAAAGAGAAGGTAGCAGGAAGCACAGGGACACCATTCACTCCCTCCGAGCCTCCCAACACTCATCCCAGTCTCCTGGCAACTACTTGCCTCGTCGATCCAGAACCATCTCAGTCTCGCCCTCCTTCTGATGAGAGTGGGTGGATATGGCAAGGCCAATCTGTAGGAAGAAGCCGCAATTACCTGGGGGTTTGGGTATCTGGAGTATGCCCTTTATTACACTATCATATCTCAGCTCCAAAGCCACACTTTTGTTTTATGATACCAGGTCTAAGACTCTGCATCAAGAACTAAGTCTGTAGGAAGTGTTAACCGAAAGACAGTGCCTCTCCAGTGGTTCGAATCTACCAGAGGCTCTGAGGGAGACAAATGAGCCAGCTCCTCCTTTGGGATTTACAGCCTCCAAAAGCTGGCTGGAGGATCTGCTTTGAGTCCTGTAAACCTCATGCCAACAGTTCTTTACCGATGGCAAGTGCTCTTTCCTACAGTAGGAGCTGTCTCTAGTTTACCAGTTCCCCAGCAGGAAAAGCCTCTACCAGGGTCAACTCATCAGAACTCCAAGCCCCAGGCGCTATGAACCTCTCCTCGCAAGCTGAGACTCTCCTCTGGAGACCGGAATTTCAGCTCTCCAAGGCTTTGGTTTTAATCATTCCAAACTTTGTTCTCTCAGTCCCAGGGTTAGTAGCGAATTCTTGCAGCTGCATATCTGAACAGTCATTTGCTGGGCTTTTTAAAAGATAAAAGCTAATGAAAGATTTATTAGAAAGCTACATTCCAAAGGACCTGCCCTCTCTCCGTGAAAGGAAATATGGACTGAAAGATCACTTCTGATTCTGTTACTTCGATCACAACTTTGCCTCTAGTTAACAATGTTCAAATAGTTGGCGGTGTACTTTCTATTTCCTGATTGCTAGGTGAGGGGCACAGGACTCTGGTTCCTCCACAATGATTTCCACCCACAATGATTTCCACTAAGGAAATCTTCCCCACCAAGAGGAATCTCTGGGTCCGTTACTCAGAAGATTTTGCCACTGAATGGTCTCTGAGAACTCTTTCCAGATGGAATAAGAAATGCTCACAGCCTAAATGAGAAAAGTGCTTTCAACACCAGACTGCCTGATCAGAGTGGCCAGTGAGGTGGCTGCATTTTTTTCCCCTGGAAATTGGAGCTTACATGATTTCATCATAAATCTTCAAAAAGCAGGGAACCAATGATGAGATGGGAGCCCTTGTCTGAGGTACACTAAGGTACACCCGGCCCAGAACATGGTCTTTGCAGTTACTTGCTATGCATCAGAGAACTGGACAATGACTAAGAATAACAGAAGTATTAATGCTTTTGAATTGTGATGCTGTAGAAGAGGCTTGAAGACACCATGGGACCACCAAGAAAACAAATATGTCTGTCTTGGAGAGGGTGAAACCCAGTTTCTCCTTAAAGGCTACGACTTTTGAAGCTCCATCTCACATACACTGGGCACGTAGCCAGGAAAGACCTTTCCTTGGAGATGAACATCATGTTTGGAAGGGTGGAGGGAGAGCGCAGGAGAGGAGGACCTGGGATAAGATGGATACAGTAATAAGGATAATAATGATACAATGGGGATAGGTGTGTAGGAATTAGTGAGACTGGCTCAAGACAGGGCAGCCTTCAGAGCTGCTGCACATAGTGTGGCAATGATAGCACATAACAACAACAAGATGCTCTGGTGGCAGTCTGTAGGAAGTTTGCTGGTAACCCAGAGTTCATGCCTCTCAAATTCTCTTCCTGGTAGATTTATAGCCTGAGTCATCCCCTGGAAGCTCAGCTGTGAGTCTCTTCCTAGTTTCCTAAGCATGATGAGATGGCCTTTACAGAAACATCCAACATATAGCAACAGAGTAACATTTGTTGAATATGAGTCTACTTTTCATTTTGCTCTACATCTACTGAGCTTACCACCTGCAGAAGACCCAGGCACAGAGCACTAGCATTCATGCTCTCTCCATTGCTGGGCTCAAGAACTCATTTCAGTGGCAACTGTGCTGTCTGGAGGGTATCTTACCCAGACTACTCCAAAAGCAGTACTCCCACTCTCATTCTATTTTAGCCTGCGTTACAAAGTCCACCACGACTCAGCTCAAAACCCTTCTCTAAGGCCTCCATAAAACCGGCCATGGAATTCAGCCCCATCTCCATTAACAGATGATGCATGTTCTCTCTCCTCTCTCCAAACCACCTGCCCTGCACCAATGGTCTCCCAAGGGCACATCCCTGCTGTGTCTGGTTAAAATGTCTCATTTCATTTTGCAATCCAAATAATTTGCTGTATCACTTTATTTTGCATACTATACTCTGGCTAAGTGCCCTTTTTGGTCCTTAACAAGTATTCCATTCATTCACTGAATAAACACCTGTGTTGTCTATCAGAACACTAGGCCAGGCTAAGCGCTGGATAAACCCGTTCACAGCAAATCTGGCCTGTCCTCAAGGAGCAAGCACATGGGCAGGATTATCGATCACAAACAGCACAGGCAGCAAATGTAATAAAGGTCTCTGAAAACCCAGGAGCTCTCAGGGGAGTAAAGAAAAGTAAGCTTCTGTAAACCGAGCGTCAAGCAAGGCTTTGTGATTTCAGTAAAATCAAGAAGGTGTTAGAAGTGGTATATGAATGAGTATTATGGTTAGCACAGGAATCCAGAATTAAGGTTGCATAGAGAAGTGTACTCGGGGTGGGGGGTGGGCGGAAGGGACGTGGGAATTGTATACTAATGAAGGAATTTTTTTTCTTTTTTTCTCTCTTCGGAGGGAGAAGCGAGCTGGTGGGGAGGGGTGGGAAGGGAGAAAATTGCGGCAATGAATGAATGGAAATCCAAAACCTCTGTAAAAAAAATAATAAATAAAAAATTTAAAAAAAATCAAGAGGGTGAAAAAGAGCATGTGGCATCGGCTAGAACAGGGGGTTAGCTGAGCATCCCTACCAATGGACGTCTTCAGGGAAATTCCTCTCCTCGCCTCTCACTTGGCCCCTACCCAAGCCCCCCACAGTATCCGGTTTCTGAAGTCCACAGGCGTAAGAATTTACCTCGTCTTTACAAGCGCAGAGCTGCCCCGGGAGCAGGCAGCCTGCCCTCCCCACCGACGCGCCCACCCACACCCTCGCAGTTCCCGCCCCACAGCCGGGGGGCCCCGCGGCCCGGCCGTTCCCGGCCCGAGCGCGCACCCAAACGGCACTCCGCGTTGGCGGGCTGCTCAGAGCGGGCGAAGGCGTCCCCAGGCTCGGAGCCCCCTCCCAGCCCGGCGCGCCCCCAACGCCCCGGCCCGGCCGCAGGTGGCGGGGGGCAGACCCCGCGCGGCGCTCACCCCCGAGCTGAGGGCTGCCTCCCGCGCGCCCGGCAGCGGCGAGTCCCTCGGCAGCTCTGCCGCCCCCAGCACCTGGGCCCCGGTGGCCTGCGGGTCCATGCCAAGCTGCCCGCGGCTCCGCGCCCTGGACGCTGCTCGGCCACGTGACGCCCCGGCCTGGCTGGCGGCCCGAGAGAATACGCCGCGAAGAACCAATCAACCAGACGAGCTCCCACCGAGGGGGCGGGACCCGCTGGTCATGAGGTAGACGGGGCGGGGAGAGGGGCGGGGCGCGACAAAGCGGCCGACTGCGAATGGAAAACCAACCGGGATGCTGATGTTTGCATTTCCAATCCATCCAAATCCTCCGACTGGAGGACTAACTGCCTCTGGCGTGTTTCAGCTTCAAATCCTCTACAAATAGTGTCGAAAATCAGCTCTCTAGACTTTTCAGTGCAATTGTCATTGTTAACCACCTTTCACCCTTCATTCCTTCACAAGTTTCTCTACTTGATTTAGAATTTCACTCAATAGCTCATTGACTCTAGACCGAGAATTAACGATTATCTCGAAAATTAATCCACTAAAAACCAGTTTGACCAAACTCCTATTATGTGTTAGACACTTAACTCTAAACGTGCTGTGATGTAGTACTCTGATCCTCCTCTTTAAATGCTGGAAGTTCTAAGTAAGGTGCTCTGAGCTAGGTAGGGTCTGACATGAAGATGAGCCCTATCCTGTTGTTAGATGCTGTTGAGTCAATTGACTAAGTCTAACAACCCCTTGAACAGATCTGAATCTTTGCCCGCCCTGCTCCTTCATCAAGTCCATTGTTGTAATCACTGTCAAGCTATCTCATAGAGGGTCGTCTTCACTCTCACCGATGTTACCTTTCCCAGCATAGTCTTTTTCCAAGGACTGGTTCCTCCTGAAAAAATCCTATAGATAACGGAAGAACTCTACTTTAATACTCAAAACCCAGTCTGTCTTTCCCCACAATAGAGCTCTACTTTAATACTCAAAACCCAGTCTCTGTCTCTCCCCACAATATGTCGATCTCTAATAAAGCCTGTAAACGTATGATGACATTAGAAAAGTTGGAAATTTTCTAAATATACCATATTATTTTTTATTCATTGTTGCATTTTCTCCTCACCCTTCCCCAGCCCACCGTGCACACTGCACCCTTTGTTCCAATTGTTCATACATACGTTTGACCATATATTCCTTTCAGACAGTTGCCCTCACCCAGTCTAATGTGTTATCTATCCACTCTTCCCATTCTCTCCCCAACCCTTTCATGTGTATCCTATTTTATAGCAATAGTGTTACAAGATGCAGGGATTTCTTGTTCACAAGCAACTTATGACAATCTTTTGGGACCCTGAGTTAGCCTATTCCTTACCTCTCAAAATCCGCAGTTGGTAAATAGGTAATTTGAAAAAAAAATCTAGCCCAAGAGTTGACACATAATTTCTATAGGAAAAATGGATGTGTGCTGTAATTGGCTGATCCAAGTCAGTTTCTCAAGCCTGAATGGCTTTAAATTAAAAATGTCCAACAGAACTTTCTTCAATGGTATAGATATACTGTTACCTACTATACTAAACACATAGCCCACCACTTATCTGTCAGGATGTCTTACTGTGATGAATTACTGTTGAGAGGCATGCCACAGGACCAATAGAACAGAAGAGTTCTATACCAAAAGGTCAGCATTCGACCATTTCAGGAGGTAGTGATAAAGAACCAATGTTAACAGAGGAAGAAGTCCAAGCTGCACAGAAGGTATTAGCAAAAAAATAAGGCTCCAGAACATTACAGACTATCAGTTGAAGTGATTTAACAAACACATGTAACACTGAAAATACCATTCACCTGTATTAGGAAATGTGGAAGATAGCTATCTGGTCAACCAACTGGAAGAAATTTTTATTTGTGTCCATTACAAAGAAAAGTGAACCAACACAAGGCATAAATCATTGAACAGTATCATTAGTATTATACTCATGTAAAATCTTGGAGAATTAAAAAATAATTGCAGAAATATATTGACAAGGCAATTCCAAAAATTTAAGCTAGATCTAGATGATGTGGAACCGCTAATGTCAGATGGATTTTGGTTAAGAATACCCAAAAGACATTTATGTGTTTTATTGATTATACAAAGGCATTTGGCTTTGTGGTTCATGATAATACTGCAAAGTCGAAGAATTCCAGAACCCTTAATTGTGCTCACACAGAACATGTGCATAGAACAAGAGGCAGTCATTCAAAGCAGAACAAGAGATACATCAAGGTTTAAAATCAGAAAAGATGTCTGTGTCAAGGGCCTTTCCTCGCACCATACTTATCCAATCTTTATACTGTGCAAATAACTGAGAGGAAAACTCTGGTGGCTTAATGGTAAGGAGATATGCTAGCCATTCAAGGGCATGCAGTTCAAATCCACCAAGTACTCTATAGGAGCAAGACTGGCAATCTCTTCCCGTGAGATTGACAGCCTCTGAAAACATGCTGGAGCATCAATGTGGAGTCTGTTCTGACTCAAAGGCACAAACAACAATAACGGAGAAGGTGAACAAGAAAAGTGTGGCATTAAGACAGGAGGAAGACTCATATCCACCTGTGATACACACGTGGCACAACCTTACTTGTTGAAAAGTAAAAAGGACTTGAGGAACTTCTTAATGAAGATCAAAACTAGTCTTCAGAATGGGTTATATATACTGCAATAGAAAATAAAAAACCCTCACTGGACCAAAAAGCAACATCATGATAAAAAGAGAAAATGTTGGACCTATAAAAGATTTCATTGTACTTGGACTCACAATTTGCATGCATGGAAGCAGCAGTCAAGAAGCTAAACGACACACTCCAATGGGCAAATGTGCTGCAGAAGATCCCTTTAAAGTACTTTTAAAAAAAAGTCACTTTGAAAACTAAGGTGCACCTGACGCAAGCCATAATATTTCCAATCACTTCAAATGCATGTAAAAACGGATCAGGAAGCTTGAAGAATTGATGCATTTTAATATGGTGTCAGCCAAGAATGTTGAATATACTGACCGAACAATGGACCAATTTATCTAAGAAGTGCAGCAAAGATAGGAAGACAGCATTTTTGGTGAAAAAGAGGATGAGTGGAAAAGAGGAAGGCCTTCAATGACATGGACTGATTTGCCAGCTGCAATAATGGGCTCACACAGCAATGATTGTGAGGAAGGCACAAAGGGTTGCTATAAGGGGAACAAATTCAATAGCAGTAAGAATAGTCATGTGGCTATTAAGTACTTGAAATGTGACCAATGTGACTGAGAAGTTGAATATGTAAATTTTAATAAATTTTAAATTGTTACACATGGTTAGGGTACTAGCTAAGAGAATGTTGTGTACCAGAGTTGGAACTGACCCATACCTGACCCTCCAGCAGGTTTTTAGAGGCAGTTAATCACAGGCAAGGAGACTGCCCATCTTTCTCCAGTGGAGCAGGTGGTGGCCTCGAACGACATGTCTTTGGGATTGAAGTGCAGTTTCTTGCCACTAAACCACCAGAGTTCTACATAAACTAGGTGCACTTCCATAACCGACAATGGTGAGAACCTCATAGTGACTCACATTCATGACCTTGCTAGAACTAGTCAACCACAGCCCTTTGCTTTCTCTTCTTTGTCACTTAACAAGTATCTCTCTCCTAAAATTAAAAACACTCTGTAATACTGAGAATGTTAAACTCAGGATATAAGTCAGAGAGGGGAAAAGAGGAAATATTTCTTGATTTTAAAACAAATGATAAACAAATAATATATATGAAAGCTCAAAATAAAAATGTCCAAATAGTCTCTAATATTCATAACAATTTAATATATAAGTAGCATTATAAATCAGAACAGAAAAAAGTATTGGCTATAAATGGTATCCCAAAATTTAGTTAACTGCTGGGGGTGAACAGAGAAGAAAACATGAGTTAATCTTAGCAGGAGACAGACTTTATGTATTTTCAGTATTTCTTACAAAAATAAAAATAACCAAAACTCCTCTGGATGTCAAAATTATCATTTAAAAATTCTAGGCATAAATTATTTGTAGTGAACCAGAGGCAGAAGATTAATATTCTTTAAGTATATAAAAAGTTTTATAATTAGGAAGAAGTCTTATAATTCATTCAAAAAGCCACAGAAAATTAAACACAGGAGAAGACATGAAAAAAAATTATTTCACTAATAGTAAAGAAATGAACATTAAAACAATGTCATTTTTTACCTAGTAAAAAGGTTAAAACCAGTGTTACAGCTTAAGAATGTTGGTGCTCTCATGCAAGGCTTGGAAGAACCATGTTGACAATACATACAAAATTCAGCAATCCTTTTCTCCAGTAATTCCACCATCAGATATCTCAAGGAAAAAAACCAGGAATGTTAACAGGGGTGGGTTAACCATTAAACACTATATATACACCAGCGTACACTGAGCCAAGGTATAGATGGGCTTAACTGTGTTTACTTTCTAATGGGTGGTGAACTTCACATACTTTCCCCCCTTTTTTGATGCGGGGAGCAAGTGAAATTGTGTTCACCCTTTGCTTATGGGGTAACTGAGTCCTGAATATGAACAAAGATCTACAACAATCTTTAACAACATTAAAGCAAAAATCAGAAATTACAATAATGATAGAGATTAGGAAAATAAATAATGGTCCATTTATATAATGTCCTTTTAGTAATGTTAGATGCTTTTAAGGCTATTTCATGACATAAACAAATAACATAATACAGATACATGTTATTTAACATCCGCAGCATGTTCTGAGAAACAGGACACTAAGTGACTTTACTGTTGTATGTGACCCAGGTCTCTCCTGCTGGGAACGCCTCAGGAGAGCAGCAAGACTACAAGCAAGAGACGCCTCAGGTAAGTACTGCCCTGGGTACTGCTTGGCTATCCAGTTGTCACTGCCTTCTCTGCTAAGCCAGCTGCAGGGAAGGCCCGTTCACCTGTGAGACAATGTGCCCAAGGAGGTGACAGTGCAGGAGAAAGAGGTCAAAGGGCACCTGAGTTAGGGCTGGGGCAACCAGAGTGCATACCTATCCGTCAAGCTCTACAGGACCACATCAAGTAAAATGTCTAAGTTTGACCAGCTTAGTTTCAGGAGCTGGGGCAGACCAAGTTTGGAAGGTTGGGCCTGGACCTCCATCACCAGAGCCCAGGTGACTTCGAGCTACACGCAGGAGGTGGCTGAAGTGGAGCTCCAGTTTCAAGACAGAAGTCTGGCATCCTGGTAATCAGACACCTGAGTGCCTTGGCTCACTGACATATATTCAGACAGACACTCTGAACTGATGTTAAATGGCACATACCGGTATTAAACTGGACACAGATATAAACTGCAGTAAACAATATTCTCAATGACATTATAAAGTTCAAAGATAAAATTTCTAACAATTGCCTCCCATCCTCGCTGAATGTGCTCTTCCCCTCTAAGTTACTCTTTTTTGTATCACTTCTGAAGCCCGTCTGGATTGCTCTGATGCCTTTGTTTCTGGGCTTACCCAATGTAAATCACTCTGCTGAATGGTCCCAGAGATAAACGACACTTTTAGAATGTAAATGCCTTTTTTTTTTTTTTAATTTTGTGTGTGTGTGTGTACTGTCAGATCAGATCTGACTGGTACAGGAGGAGATTTTTCCTCCTTCTCCAGCAGAGCATCTGGTGGATTTGAACCGTGCATCTCTGGGATTGCAGTACACCTTCTTGCCACTAGGCCACCAGAGCTCGCCACATGTAAATGCCTTTTTAAAGACCTTTTCCTCACTTCTCAGCACCTCCTCCTCTTCTGCTTTAACCAGTCAGCTCTGTTCTGCAATCTCTCCACCTCCATACCAAAAGGCCTCTTCTTTCTTTGCTGACATGCCAGGCACTCAGGTATTTCCTGAATGAATGAGTATAAATTCCCATAAAGTAAATCAAATTATGGAGTTTAACTCCAGATGGTAAGGTTGGTTACAGGATGTTTTTACTTCTCCACACTGTTCTTCCCACTGCTTTGATATTTTCTATAATAAATGCATTATTACGTATGTCGCTTCTGTAATGAAGAGAAAATAAACAGAACTCTACCTTCTCCTCCAATTCAACTGACAAAGGGAAGAGTTTATAAATTAAACTCAGTTGTATGATTTCCATGTATTTTGGAAAACATTTATGACCTGAAACAGGTCCAATCTCAACAAGCAGTTTTTGACTACTGACATAGTAGTTCTTTTTTCTGGAATTAAAAATTAATACAGTAATATAAAATAAGCAGGTCTCAAAATCAGACTTCTGTCTTATCAGTTATCTCAAAGCACATTCAAACTGAAAATCTGTCCAAGGCTCTTTTTTTTTTTAATTTTTAATTTGGTGTACCATCGAACTGGATCTGAGTGGCACAGCAGAGCATCTGGTGAATTCGAACAGCACACCTTTGGGATTGCAGTGCAGCCTCTTGCCACTAGGCCACCAGAGCTCCTCCTTACTACCCAAGGCTCTTATAAAACTTTTCCACGAAGTTGAATGTGTTCTTTTCACAACTGGCCAGCCTGATGCATTGCATGCTTAGCCACAAATGCTTCAGCAGACTCTCCCTGCAACATCTTCATGGCTCGCCAATAGATCTGGCCGCAGTTCTCAGGTCTACCAAGAGGGTGATTCAATTCCTCTTTGATGTAATCCATCCAAAGATCTTGAAAGAAGACAAAAAAAAATTACTGCAAACATAACTGGTAGGGCTTTACTGTCAAATTTATTTAATGCTACTTTCAACTCAAGATTTCTAAGAAATTGAACTTCTTGCTGTCATTTCCCTAAAGCCCTATATAAAACAAAGCCTTTTGCATTTGGGTTCTCCATAGGGTATATCAAAACTTATTTTCAAGGTAGAAAATTTCATCTTAACAATGACAGTAGGTTATTTTAAGTCAAAAACAGTAAATTCTTGTTGACTGTAAAACCATTTTACTCTATTACAAAAGTTACTCAAATTACAATAGGAAGTTAATTTTAAAAGCAGCAAATATTTTAGAGGAAGGACTTGCCGAGTCTCTTTCAAGATACAACTGACTCCATTTAACTAATAGTACAACTTGCTAGTAAAATTTGCCTAGGGTAGCAAAAACTGCAGCTTTTCATTTGTTTCACCAAGAAAAAAAGCCAGTGAAACCATGAAGAAGCTAATTCTTTTTTCTTAATGTATAAGGCTTGTTAGTAACTATACATGCGTTTATGTAAAAAGCCTCACATTTTACTTAATATACAAGTTCTACAATGAAGGCAGTGGAATTAAGACAATTAATGCCAATTTGTGTCCCACTTTTACCCTTCGCTGTTAACTCTTGTTCTATTTTGGTTCTGATCTATATTATTAACATTTTTTCCCCCTCCCACAAATAACTACCCATGGATATAAAATGAGGAAAGGATGTAATAACATAAAATAATTCTGGTATAGCATGCCCACAAATAGTGCATGTTCATGACCTAGGACCTTCTAAAATACAATTAGAACTCAGTCACCTGCCCTCCCCTGTTCCTGGTAAAGTATATCATTCTGGTTTGGTTTTCGTTTTCATTCTGGTCACTTTCTCTCCTCTCCTCTTATATATGTATGTACACAAAAGTTAAAAAAAAATACTAATTTTGATCTGGTGACCTAGTGGCAAGAAGCTGCACTGCAATACCAAAGGCACACAGTTCAAATCCACCAGATGCTCTGCTGGAGAAGGAGGGGCAATCTCCTCCTGTACCAGTCAGATCCAATTTGACGGTACACACACAAAAAATAATAAAACAAATTTTAAAAAAATACTAATTTTGGATAGAATTTTACAGTGAAAGTATAAAGCCATGGTCAAGCAATCAGGGATCAAGTTTAATAGTCCTCGGTAATTGGAAAATAAACAATCAAAACTATGTGCTTGTTTCTAGTCATTTAAGTTATAATTACAGTGAATTAGCTCAACAATTAAATGTGAAAACTTTATCAGATAGTGTCAAGTGAATCCACTTGGTCAGCCTATTTCGTAATTTAGTTATATTGGTGTCAAGTGAAGTCACCAACATATGCAAAAAAATTCTGCATAGCCTATCAAAAATAACAGTGGCTCTTTGACACAGCTGGCAAAAACAGGTATAATGTGCTTATTATTTGCAAAGAAGAGAGTAACTTACTCCTTTTGAATATGTTTTTTAGAACTAAACCAAGAAAATCTTTCTCTAATTCATGGTTCTTAATATGACCATGAACCCTTGGGCTTAAGAATTCTTGAAATTATACTCAAAATAGTGTGCATGTGTTTATGAACAAAAGGAGGAAAGCAGGGGAGGGATCCATAACTTCATTCTTAAAAAAAAGACTTGACTTTTTAAAAAGAAGCGAAGAAACACTGTGATAACTATACATACAGTTACAGACTGTATACCCTGACACTAGTGTGTCTGTACTTGAAGTTTACTTACCAGAATCTACAGACCCAAACTCTCTTAAAGCCCTCTCATAGAATTCTCTTAAATTCATCATCTTGCAGGATTCCTGCAGAAATAACAGATAATTCTGCATCAGAAGTCTAATGTATGTTTCAAAGTCATTTCAACAACATTAAAGCATTTACTGCTAGGTAGGAGGCCTAGGGGTATAATGTGTTAGGTGTATGCTGCTAACCACAAGATCAGCGGTTCAAGTCCATGAGTTGCACTGTGAGAGGAAGATGGGCAGTCTCCTCTGGAACTATTTACCTCAGACACTTAATACAGAGTCTGGATGAGTTGGAATCAACTCAACAGCTGTGGGGTTTGGAGTCATTAAGTTAAACAAAGCCTAGCTCTATTTCAGAGAAAAGTCAAACACAAGCAATTAATTATATTGCTTAGCAAAGTGAAATAAACACTAAGCATTTAAAAAAGCACCAGGCTATAGTAGCATGTTTTAAGGAAAGATTAGTCCCTGGGAAAGGACGTAATTCTGGGAAAGGTAGATGGTTAGAGAAAAAGAAGAAGACCCTCAGCAAAACAGACTGACAGTGGAGTTTCAACAATGGACTCAAGGAACAAATATAACAATGGTTGTGAGGATGGCACAGGACCAGACAGTATTTCCTTCTGCTGTCAACAGGGTCACTCTGAGTTGGAGCCAAGTGAGCCACACCTACCAGTAACAAACGGTATCACAGGAGACAGCTTGGGAGGCAGGGCAATTAAGGACTCAGGTGCTAATCCAAAAGTCAGCAGAGTGGAGTCAATTACCCACCAGGTGTGAGGGAAAGAACAGCTGGAAATCTACGTCCATTAAGATGAGGGCCCAGAAAACCCTACAGGTTGTCCTGTCATTCAAGGCTTCAAGGCTTTTAGGAGTTAAAATCAACCCTATGATTCATGATGCCACGAGGAAAGCATACTCAATTCTCAGTGAGGAAACTGGACAGATTCACATATATCTGAGGGCCTATCAGATGGGTAGAATATAACTAAAAAAGATAAAGGAGCAAGTTCTACCTAATGCCATCGTTTTTTCCTTTCTGAGCACCAGGCTCTGACATGTTCACTATGCCTCCTCTTGAAACTTTTATATCAAAGCAAAGTACAAATAAGTACTAGTTTCATCAACTTTAAGACTTTTTAAAATTTCTTTTTAATCCTCTGACATTAAGTTTCTAACCCATGACTACCTCTTACGGAAACTATGAGTATTAAATTTAAAATGCTGATAATTAGTAAAAAGCTAAGCAGCTGGTACTAATTTAAATAACAATCAATGTTTTAAATTCTTTTTTTTTAAATTCTATTTAAATGCATATCTGTTTCCTTTTCAAAATAATCAACATGTTTATTAAAGCCTTTCATGTACCTCATAGCTACTTCACTTTTCAAATTTCTCTTCACTGGGACTGTACTAATAGAAACTCAATTAAACCTTGTATTTTGCATACGCATGAAAAACAATATTTTGTTGAGGCAGAATGTACACAGCACTATGCAAAATCCTCTTCATGAAGTAATCTTACCGACAAAGAGACCTCCTGACCTCTCTTACACATGAGGGTGCTGAGGCGTAGAATTCAGTGGCTAACCTAAGGCACCTAACTATTGTGTTAGGGATTTGAAACCAAGCTATGGGCCATTACATCACTACCTCCATTACCTCCTGTACTAGACGATATAATGAAGAAATGGACAGAGATCACAAACAGATACCTGACTCACACAACAATGAGTCAAATCAAAAGTGCTAATTAGAAACTTCAAAATTCACCTAAGAGTAATGCATAACAGTTAAAATAGAAGAGGAATCAATCAAGCTGAAGACTGAGAAGTATACTGGTGTATTTGTCAAACTACTATAAAGAACTTTTTTTTTTGAAGGATTATATGGCAATATATGATCATGCTGTTTTTAGGTGGCAATGACTTGGTTCCAACTCATAAAGACCCCTACAACACATATGAAACCCTGCCCAGTACTGAGCCATCCACACCATAGACATAAAAATTTAACTCACGGAAAAAATTGAGTGTATATTTAAGTTCATAGCAGTGTTATTCAAAATAGGAAAAAAAAAGGAAACTACCCAAATGCCCATCAACAAATTAATGGACTAAAAAATTGTGGTACATTCAAACAGTGGAATACCAGGCAGCACTAACGAGCAACAATTTTGTAAAATACTACATAACTTGGGAGAGACTAGATAGCATTTGGGTAGGGAAATATCTCAGTCACATTAAAGACAAATATGGCATAAGGTCACTTGTGAAAAGAAGAAGATAACTGAGTAAGATGTATATAAATGTTCAGAAGGGAAAGAAGAGGAGGAGGGCAGAAAAAGAGGAAGGGGGAAAATCACTAGGATAAGAGAGGTCAGTGGGAGTGTGAAGTAATCAAACAGATTTAATGGAGGCTTGTGAAATCAGGCAAAGAGAAATGGTAATTAATTACATAAAATACCAATGATTGTATAAAACAAAGTACATGTACAGAACACGATATATATAAATGATTATATGCAAACCAACAAAATTATAAAGAAGAAAACTGGAGGAGGAAGCTATATGAACAAAAGACTTAAACCAAAAATAAACTATATAATGATGGAAAGTTTTAAAAGGAGGGGGAGAAAAATAACTCTATGGTTTAAGAATAATAAAACCATTAAAGATAACTGTAACCATGAAGAAAAGGAACACATTTACAAAATAAATATGGTTGGTTGTACTAATGTAACAGGATCATTGATACCCTACAATTTTTTTTTTTTAATTTTTCTTTAAGTAAGACTCTTGATTGAATCTTCACCCACAAATTCAGTTTTATGACAAGAGTAACAGTTACTGAGGGCAGGCTCACCATCTCACAATTCAATGCAAGAGACAGCTAGCACACCAGGAGGCATGGAAAGGTGCCTAAAAGGACTGACAAATGAGTGTTTCTATTTATTATATATGTTCTTTTTTTCAACTTGATTATCATTCTTTAGGGAGCTCTGGAGGCCTAGTGATTAAGAAGTTGTGCTGCAATCCCAAAGGTACGTGGTCTGAACCCACCAGCTGCTTTAAGGGAGAAAGATAAGCAATCTTCTCCCATGCTATTACTGCCTCTTAAACCCACTGGAAGATAGCTATGAATGAGTTCCAACTTAAAAAACACATAACCACCACCACCATTCTTAAGCTATGTCTATGAAAAAAAGGTTGGACTTGTATACCAGAAATTCACGCTGCTATAATGACAGTTTTTAAATAACAAAATGCTAACAGAACCCACAAACTCATTTTCCCAATAAAGACTAGATAAAACACTTACTTGCTCCTTTTCAAATTGGATCATTTTCCTGAAAAATTCAACTGAAAATGGACGGCTTTCCTGTAAACTACAAAAGAAAAAAGGGGAAGTAAGGATGAGGAAAGAAATTTTACCTTGCAGATAAAAAGGAAACAAACAACAGAAAAAACCCTTAAAAAAAGTTTAAAAAAAAAAGACAAAACACCTATCTCATAAACCCAACCACATCTAATCTGTGCCTCGACAACAGAGTCAGCCACCATGCAATGGGGGAACATGCACTGAACACAAGTCACTCACATTGCTTTATATCTAAAAGGACTTGCTCTAACCCACCACTAAACTTTTCTTTTTCCCTATCCAGTTTTCTTGTCACTTTTAGGGTTTTAAATTTATCCTACTATCTCTCAGGGTCTTTTGGATGAAGACCAACAATTCCATATATAAGAATACAGTCCAAGGAAATAATTCCCAATGTGGACAAAGCGTGCAGACATTCATCAAAGCACTATTACACTGCCAAAAAAATTATGGCACATCCACTACATGGTGTATCACAGCTATTTTCCATATGTAATGCTCATGAGGAATTTGTACTAGTGGGAGAGAAATGCCCAGTTTAATGTTGATCAAAGAAATTACAGACAACATAAATCAGATTTACAGGGTAAAAACTATGTTAAAAAAAAAGTAAAAATTATATATTAACATTAGTTTTTCTGATGATGATATTACAATGAATTATAGTTATTTTCATTTCTTTTGTATTGTGCACAGAGGGAATTAACTTTTTTCTGTTAAAAAAACACATTACTTTTGGAAAAAATCATCTGCATTATTTCTACAGTTATTCTGGTGCATATAAACTGTGTATAGAAGATGGGTCTGGCGAGACAACACCTACAGAAGAGCTGACACACCATGAGTACCTTTTAAACACTGCTCTGGCCTTTTTGTAGCCACCACTTCGATAAGCCCAATCTAGATACTTCTCCTTCAGGGTTACTGAGTCAGCACCTGTGACCACTAGGGATGCCTTCTACAATTCAAAAAAAGAACCAAATTACATGACAAAACTGAGAAACATCAAAAACAAATTTCCCCGAAACTATGTAAGGCTACCAACAGTACCGAAAAATACCTGTAAAACCTATCAATCAGTGGGCACAGTTACTTATTCCCCACACATGCCAAGACTCAGCAGGGGACGGATACCTTAAAGACTGCTTCAGCATCTTCTGGGCTTCTGGTATTTTCACTCCACTCTGCCCAGGAAATCCACAATGGCAGGCAAGCCTGTTTACAATTAAAAAAGTTAGAAAACTGCTAAATTAGCATTGTTGCTGTTGTTATGTGCCACTGAGTTGTTTGCGACTCATAGTGACCCTATGTACAACAGCCCTAAACCCTGCTCTATCCTGTGCCAATCCCACTGCCTCTGATACACCCATCCCGATTACCCCAGTCACTGAATAGAGGGTCTTCCCCTCCTGCGCTGTCCCTCTACCCTCCCAAGCATGATGTCCCTCTCCAAGGACCTGTCTCTCCTTACAACATGTCCAAAGTATGTCAGACGAAGCCCCAGAATCCTTGCCTCCAAGGAGTAGCATGGTTTAAACCTCTCCAGGATGAATCTCTTTGTTTTCTTGGCAGTCTATGGTACATTCAATACTCTTCTCCAGCACCACAGTTCAAAGGCATCAATTCTCCTTCTATCCTGCCTAGTCCATTGTCCAACTAACTTTCTGATGCATAACAAGTGATTGCAAAGACCATGGCCTGTATCAGGCGCACCTTAGTCTCCAGAGAGACCGTTGCTCTTGAGTACTTTAGAGAGGTCCCTAACAGCAGACTTTCCCATCGCAATACGTTTTTTGATTTCCTGAATGCTGGTGCCAAGAGTGTTGACCATGGAGCCGAGCAAACTGAAGCTGTGAACAATCTCAATCTCTTCGCCATCCATCCTGATGCTACCAATTGGTCCAGTGGTGGGAATCTTTGTCTTCTTGACATTGAGCCTCAGTCCATACTGAAGGCTGCAGTCCTTGACCCTCTGCAACAAGTGCATGAGGTCCTTCTCAGTTTCAGCAAGTAGGGTTGTGTCATCTGCATAACACAGATTGTTAATAGATCTTCCACCAATCCTGACGCCACAATTCTCCTCATAAAGCCCAGCCTCTCGGATAATCGGCTCTTCATACAGGTTGAAAAGGTATGGAGATGTTATACCCTTCCCAATTTTGAACCATGCAGTGTTGCCCTGCTCTGTTCTGACGACTGCCTCTTGGTCCAAGTATAGGTTTCACATTAGCACGATTAAATGTTCTGGGATTCCCATTCTTTTCAGAGTCAGCCACATTTTGTTATGATCCACACAATCAAACACCTTTGCATAATCAATGAAACACAGATATATATTTTTCTGGTATTCCCTGCTTTCAGCTAAGATCCAACTAACATCAGCTACAATATCCCTAGTACCATGAGCCCTCCTAAACCCAGCCTGGACTTCTGGCAGGTCTCTGCTGATGTGCTGTTCCAGCTGTTTTTGGATACTCTTCAGTAGAATCTTGCTTGCATGTGAAACCAATGATATTGTTCTGCAGTTTCCACACTCAGTTGGGTCACCCTTCTTTGGAATGGGAACAAATAAAGATCTCTTTCAGTCAGTTGGCCAAGTGGTTGTTCTCCAGATTTCTTGGCACAACTTGGTTGAGCACATCCAGGGCAGCATCTGTTAGCTGAAATATGTCAATTGGTATACCATCTATTCCTGGGGCCATATTTTTTGCTGTTTCCTCCAAAGTAGCTTGAACTTCATCCTTCATCACCATAGGCTCTTGCTCAAATGTTATTTCATGTTATTAGAGAAGCTAACGCACAAGGAAGAATTCAAGATACTAAAGAGCTGAACAGAAGATTACAAAAGGCAGCACGGAATGACAAAGCAAAATATTAAAATGAAATGTGTGAGGAGCTAGAGTCGGAAAATCAAAAGGGCCAAACTCGTTCAACATTTCTTAAGCTCAAGGAACTGAAGAACAAATTCAAACCTCGAGTTGCTATAATGAAGGATGCTTTAGGCAGAATAGTAAATGATCCAGGAAGTATTAAAAGAAGATGGAAGGAATATACTGAGTCATTGTATCGAAAGGAATTGGCAGATACAGAAGAATTTAATGAAATAACATTTGAGCAAGAGCCTATGGTGATGAAGGATGAAAATTAGCACTACACTCTGAAAATTAACCCCTCCAGGATAAATCACCAGTTTCTGAGATGATCAGTTTCTAAAACATGGATTCATTCTTATAGACCCCACGTGCTGCTCTGGAGCTGCAGACACTGGAATTTGAATTCTCGGAATCCAGATGTTCTGGATCCATGAAGCCTGAATGAACCCTGGGATCATCTTTAAACCCTCAACCAAAAAAATCTCAAGTCTTCTTAAAACCAAATTAGAACATAAAATGCCTGCCTTAAGCAATATGCTCTTTTATAAGATTTATGCGGGATCCAAGCGTTTGAGATCTGTTTCTGTCAAGCCTCTGCTTGGCTTGGGCCACGGCTGTGCACCTCTATGGCCACTGGCCTCAACAAGGGCCGCAAAGTAACCAAAATGTTAGCAAGTCGGGGCACAGCTGCTGCCGCCTCACCAAGCACACGTCTGTACAAACTATGAGCCAGGAAGTGAGTAGCTTCATACGTTGTGAGTGCTGAGCCATGGAGCTTCTCAAGGTTTCCAAGGACAAGCAGGCCCTCAAGGACATAAAAAAAAGTGGGGACACACAACTGTGACAAGAGGACATGAAAAGAACTCAGCAATCTCTGGGGCGCCATGAAGAAGGCAGCTGCCAAGATGGACTGAGCGTGACCCACAGTCACTCAAAGCCCTCACCCGACTGTTGTAGTAAAATGCAATAAACGATAATAAAAAAAAAAAGATTTAAGGAGGCTCAAGCTGACAATAACAAATGGAAAGATTAAATAGCAATCTTAGAGGGCAGGGAGATTAGGTGTAATGGAGGAGAAACTCATAAAAAGTAAGAATGTTTACATGACTCAAAGAATATAATCAATGTCACTGAGCTGTACAAGTAGAAACAACTGTACTGGTATGTTTTGCTGTGTATGTTTTCAAAAAGAACCAAAAAAAAATACTTGTAGACACACACACACACACACACACACACACACACACACGCGTGCGCGCACACACATCTAATTAAATCTATCTAGTAGGAATGGTATGCCAAAATACAGACACCATTCCTATCAAGTCACCCAGAACAATTCTCTGTTTGCTCCCCTCTTTGGAGAACAATACCTAAAACTATTATCACTAATTAGCTTTCAGTTAATTAAAAAATTAACAGCCTACAATTAGTCAGATTCATAGGTCTAAAATCTATAAACACAAGTACTAATCTAGACTGTCTATCAGATCCTCACTCATGTCCCTACAAACACAATTAATTAAGCAATAAAATAATTAAGATCTAGGCTACATTATCAGAATTATAGGAAGGAAATGGGCAAAGTGTGGGTATTAAAATTAATGTTACTAAATAAAATGTATACAAATGGTTAAATGAAAAAGTAATTTGCTTTGTAAATCTTGACTTAAATCACATTAGAAAAATAAATGTTTTAAAAAAGGTGTTTCCCTCTTAACCTTCTAGAAATTTTTTTCCCTACAATACAAAAAAAATTTACAAGGTTTAGTTATTTATTTATTTAGTTATTTCCAGGTTTAGTAACACGTGTGTTTAAAAGTTAGAGGTTTTGGAGGTATATGAAAATAAATTGTATTACTATCTGATTTATATAGATATCCAAATAAAAATATCTATATAGAATAGAAAAGTTTATTATTTGTTTTTACCTCTTACGGTGAACTTTCAAATAAAAAATTAAAAATAGACTATTAAAAAGAAATCAATTCTTTTTTCACAGACTTTTATCACTTTTTCACAATTTTTTTATCACATGACTTCATCATGTGATAAAAAACCCACTCCACTCCAGAGTCAGCTGACAACCGGTAAATATCCTCTACATTAGCTTTGAAGTCATAAAATTATCTTTTCTAATAGGATAATATAAAAAAATAAAACACCAAACCCAACACACAGACCTGGGGTTTTAAGTTTCCAAAAGCTTCTTCAAACAGCATGGCGATGTCAGGGCTCTTGGATTCAGTCAGCACCTGCAGCTTCATTTGCCACATTGTCACTGAATCTCGGAACAACTCTGTCCCAGCAACAGCCACCTCCAGAGCTTCCTTCAAGAATTTATGGTGAAGGAGCAAGTCAATCTAGGTGAGACAAAAAGAAAAAAAGTGGAACATTAATAAAAGATGCCTCAATTATCTGTGTAATTCATTATCTTAAGCCACCATTTCAACCGCCTCTCTAGTACAATTTTTACCATGATGGCTAGGCAGATACAAAGTGAACAATCTGAGATGCTCCTTCTTTCCCTGTTTTCATCTCCCAGGATTATCAGAAAAGCAGTGAAAAGAAGAAAGGATCTGAAAATTTTACATTGTTGTTGTTGTTGTGTACCGCAAAGTCAGAACTGATCCATCTAGTGGATTTTCAAAGGCAGTTAATCACACAGGAGACCGCCCATCCTTCTCTTGAGGACCAGCCAATGGCCTCAAAACATGGGCCTTTGGGACTGTAGCACAACTTTTTGCCAATAAGCCACCAGAGCGCCCTAATAAAAGAATTGATTATACTGAAATCCACACCCAATAAACAGTATAAAAATCTGTAAAGATAAAACTCAGCATTTGTAAAATGGTACAGAGACAAGAAGGAAGCTTGGTGACACTCAGCCACTAACCAGTCAGGATTCAAACCTACCACTTTGAGTGCGAAGGCTGTAAAATCTGTTTTCATAAAGATAACAGCCCTGGAGACCCTAAGAAGCAGCTTTACTCTGCCCTAAAGGGTCATGATGAATCAGAATAAACTCAAAGGCAATGGGGCTCTAAAAGGAAACAAGTAGTATGCTTATTTAAATGCAGCTGGACATAGTATAAAGTCATACAATTTTTCTAAAATGTAACTTGACACTATATAATAGCATCATAAGGAGTCCCTGAGTACAAATAGTTAAGTGCTCCTCTACTAACCACAAGGTTAGCATTTTAAATCTACTCAGAAGTGCCTCAGAAGAAAGGCCTGGAGAAAAGAACATTAAAAACCCTACAAGGCAGGGAGCGCTAGTGACCTAGTGGCAAGAAGCTGCACTGCAATCCCAGAGGTGTACAGTTTGAATCCACCAGATGCTCTGCTAAAGGAGGGGTAACCTCCTCCTCTACCAGTCAGATCCAATTTGACGGTGACTGTTGTTTTTATGTGCCTTCGAGTCACCTGCGACACAGTGACTCTATGTACAACAGCCCTAAACCCTGCTCTATCCTGTGCCAATCTGTCTCCGACACACCTATCCCCATTACCCCAGTCACTGAATCAATTCACTTCATAGAGGATCTTCCTCTCCTGCGCTGTCACTCCACCCTCCCAAGCATGATGTCCTTCTCCAAGGGCTGGTTCCCTCCTTGCAACATGTCCAAAAGAAAGCTTCAGAATCTTTGCCTCCAAGGAGCAACCTGATTTAATCTTCTCCAGGATAAACCTGTTCATTTTCTTAGCAGCCCATGGTATATTCAATACTATTCTCCAACACCACAGCTCAAAGGCATCAATTCTCCTTCTATCCTCCCTAGTCATTGTCCAACTCTCTGAAGCACAGCAAGTGATTGCAAAGATCATGGCCTGTATCAGTCTCCAGAGTGACACCACTGCTCTTCAGTATTTTGGAGAGGTCCCTAACAGCAGACTTTTCCATCGCAATACATCTTTTCATTTCCTGCCTGCTGGTGCCAAGAGTGTTGACTGTGGAGCCAAGCAAACTAAAGTTGTTAACAATCTCAATCTCTTCACCACCCACCGGGATGCTGCCAATTGGCCCAGTGGTGAGAATCTTTGTCTTCTTGATACTGAGCCTCAATCCATATTGAAGGCTGCAGTCCTTGACCTTCTGAAGCAAGTGCTTCAGGTCCTCTGCTCAGTTTCATTTTTGATGGTACACACACTCAAAAAGAAATTTTTAAAAAAACCCTACAGGCACTGAACTGATTCTATGGCAACTAGTTTGGTTGGTTGGTTGGTTGGTTTGTTTGTTTGTTAAAAAAAAAAACAAAACAAAACCAAAACTGGTAACAGTGTCTATATTTACTGACAACAGAAAAATGTGAGTGGTTACACATTGTTTGTTTGTTTGTTTGTTTGTTTAAAAAAAAACAAAAACAAAACTGGTAACAGTGTCTGTATTTACTGACAACAGAAAAATGTGAGTGGTTACATAGGTATAGGTACACATATAAGTGTATGGCAAGGTCTTTTTGCACATGTATATGTATAAACATGTAATTATCTCTGTAGACATAATTCCTATATATGCACGTGTATGAATACATGTAATATTTAGAGGGCATAGCCATGGATACCCCCAGACAAAACCAAGTAACACAAAAGGTTGGTTTACTAGATTTGAAAGCTAGGACTCCAGTTCCACAGGACAGGTCAATCAGTTGGCACAACAACTTATGAAGCTTCTGTTCTACATCCTAGTTTGGTAAGTTACACTTTGGGATCTTAAAAGAGCCATCTACGATTCAACTCATGGTATCTACTCCTGCATGTGGAGCAGAAGAGGAAGGAGGAAACAAGACTCAAAGAAGAAATAAGTCCATAGAACTGGCCTCTCCCCCACAGGGACAAGAATGAGATGATGACCAGTCACCACTAGCATCTTGAGCAGGGGCACAGAAGAAGGCCCCACATAAAATGGGAGGAAAATGCAGAACAAAATCCAAATTCTTATAAAAAACAAGACTGAAAGAGACTACAGGAACCCCCAAGGCTGCTACCCTAAGTTATCTTCTGGCACTGAAGTCAATCCTAGGGATCACTTTTCAGCCCAATAAACACACCTATGAAATAAACACACTCTGGGGCCATTTGGGGAGGGCTGGGAGATTTAAGAGGAGACTCCAGGCCCCCAAACAAGCCCTCCTCCTAAATGCTGCCTTGACCAGAGCTCTGCACCGCTTATGCGGAGACCCCATGTGAAACAGGAAGGCCTAGTCCAGCAGAACCAGGCCTGCAGTGCTGCAAGGAAGCACTGGCTCTTACCCTCCTGACCTCACACAGACCAGACCACAGGGCATTAACTGACAGCGCAGGACAGGCTTTTAGAAAGTTTCCTGAGTACTGGTGGAAAGGAGTGTAGCTGAAACTGTAACCAAGGGAAGCATTATGCTTCCAGAAAAATCTCAAGGAAAAGTATGCAAGCAAGAGTAGTAGCAACTGGATCTGGATCTAAAGGAAAGGGTGGAGAAATTCAACCAGTCAGTGTGAAAGTTGGAGACAAAGATCTTCTCCCAGAATATGGAGGCATCAAAGTAGTTACAGACAACAAGGATTATTTCTTATTTTAAAATGGTGACACTCTTGCTTCTGAGAGGAAGAAGCAGGGAGAAGGGAACGGGAGCAATTAAAGACCACAGCCAGCACCATGAGCCTCCTCAACAAGCCCAGGAGTGAAGATGACCCCAGAGGAACAGCAGAAGCAAGAGGAGGAGGAGTTTAGCACAGGCCACTCTCCATGTTCATGCAATCAGTCAAGAACAACACGCCAAGTGCTCATCAACTGTTGGAACAACAAGAAGCTCCTGGGCTGCATGAAGGTCTTTGACAGGCACTGCAGCATGGTGCTGGGGAACGTAAAGGAGATGTGGACCAAGGTCCCCATGAGTGGCAAGGGCAAGAAGTCCAAGCCCGTCAACAAAGCCTGCTACATCTCTAAGAAGTTCCTGCGTGGGGACTCACTCATCGTGGTCCTAAGGAAACCCCACATCGCCGGCAAGTAGGGTCGCCCCTGCCTCTACAGCCCTGCCTCACTGACACCTCCTGCCGCCCCTGAAAGATCTGCCCCGTACTAGGAGTAATAAAGTCCCTGTGTGGTTTTTTCCTAATATATATGTAAAAAAAAAAATATATATATAAATTTAAAAAATAAAGATGGTGACATTCTTGCGAAGTATGCAGACTGAAATAAATCACCTTTGAAATGGCATCACGTGAAGCTGCCCCTTTCACTGAAGTTCTAAAATCTTCCAACATGTAAATAATCTCTAGGTTTTATTAAAAAACATGCAAATCTGTGGTTTTAAACAAAAAAAAAAGTGACTCCAGGTATAGAACAGCTTTATGAGGGTTGTAAATCTAATAAAATTTAGACCAATCTAGCTAAGACTCTAAGAACAAACAAGCAACATGGAATCACTGCAGACTGTCTAACCTGGGTTTAGGAGTAACTTTTAAATATATTTGCAAATATAAAATAAAAATAAACATGCTTGCCTGTCAGTAATATGTCCCTTAAATAACCAAAGTGCCAAAATTTACTCAGAAGCAAAGATGAAAAGAGAAGGAAGCTAGATCAATGGAAACAAGAACAGACAATGAGAATGCTGTGAAAATTCTAATAATATCATTTCTACTAAGAACAGTTAAATGGGAACCTAATTCACTATGTAAATTTTTACCTAAAGCACTTGCAATTTTTAGAAAGAAAATGAATGGAAGGAAAGCTTATCTGTTCAAAAATAATTCTGCAGCAAAAATATTTAAAAACCTGAACCCAATCCAATTTACAAAATTCTGGAAAATGCTGGTAAATGGTATTTGTAACTGTACTTCACTCAACAACCCTTCCCCCCTCCCTTTTTTCTGGTACAGGAAACAGAGAAATTCAAGTAAACAGAATAGGTTAGCACGGACTCAAAGGTTTACTCTGCAAGTTTACCAAAGGATTAACACAATGCAGACTATCAAAGGGAACAATATAACAAAACTTTAAAAACCGCAAATAAAGCATGACAGACCAAACTCCTGTGACTAAAGGCAGTAACAGAAAGCAACCCTCCAAAATGATGCTATCCCATACCCAAAACAGGTGCAGGAACAGCTCAAAGTTCAAATCTGTGATTCCTGGGGGAGGATGTAGGAGCGAGACAGTTCAGCCAAACCACATTTTCTGCTGGCTGTATTTGGTGCTCACTCCACTTCTCTCGCATATGCTGTCCCCCTCACCAAACCAAGATACAGCAAAGTGAGGTCTACTGATATGCACGTAACAAGTATTTTTGTTAAAAGCTTGATTCAATAATGAGAAAACTGGGTACATTCCTTAACATGTATAGAGCTTCCAAATCTAGCAGTAGAGAGTAGAGTCGGTAAGTGACAAGATAGGAAAAGGACCAGATGCTTTAGGAATACATAGCAGAATAGTCCAATGGGTTTCTGAGAAGTGTTGAGGAAGGTCTCCCAGGAAGGAAGAGAATATGTAAGGAGAAGCAGACCAACTTAGTCAGGTACAAGCAGAGAGCTCCAAGAAAACAGAAAGCTCTCCCAATAAGCATGTTCAAGAGGATTATGATGTGCGGCACCTAAAGCACAAAATGATTCAAGTTCAGAATGGCCATACGCTAGAGAATGGGAATAAATCAAACTGGGGAGACTTGGGGCTTCATTTAAGGACAATGGGAAGCCAGAATATAATAATTTTTAAAAGAGCATTCCATGAAAAATAATCCAAAAAAGAGGGTATAAAACCAGCTAAGTTTAGAGGCAGTTAAGTTGAAGGACTCATTAAAAACCAGTTCATCAGACTTGAAAACAGCTACCAGATACAGACTAATAATCACTGCAGCACTACATCAGTCACAACAGCCAAAAGGTAGAAACCACCTAAATGTTCATGAATAGGTGAATGGATTTAAAGGGGAAAAAAAAGTAGTCTGTACATACAATGGAATAATAGCCAGTCATGAAGAGAAAATAAGTCATGTGATATGTTACAACATAAATAAATCTTGAAAATATTAGGCTGGTTGAAATCGATCACAACGCTCAAATGAAAAGGCTAGTCTAGGCAGATGTAAAGACCAATTTATCAGTGGTTCTCAGGAGTGGGTAGAAGGGATGGGGAAAGGGGAAGTTACTGTTCAGGAAACACTGGGTTTCTGCTTATGGTGATAGGAAATCTGGCAATGAATATTGGTAATGGTTATAAAACATGATTTATGCAACTAATGACACCAAACTATACAATTAAAAATGTTACGATGGCAAACGTCGTGTTATAATTTGCTCACAAGAGTGAAAAATAAATAAAGCTAGGACACCAAAGCAGTGCTGAGGTGGTAATTAGGAAATCTGAGAAAGAACTGACAACACTGGAGATCTGAGTAGTGTAAGATATCTGAAAACCCCAGGCACAGTGAAGGGCAAAATATAATAAAGGAAAGGAAGGAGACATACCATCCAATATTTAAAGCTACCTTCAGTTTATAAGACACAACTGTCTCGCTAGTATTCAACAGCTCAAGAAGCAAGAGTTAAATTCATCCAGATCTAGGTACTTCCAGAAGATGTCAAAAGGGAAATAGGTGATGGGGTGTCAACACACTGGTATAAAACTCAAATTCACTACCACAGAGTTGATTCCAACTCATAGTACTCTCCATCAATTTGCAAGGCGGTAATTCTTTATGAAGTAAGCTGCCTGCCTTTGTCTATAAGAGCTTTTGGTGGACTTGACCTGCCAGAGGCATGCAGCCATTTGGTTAAGCATACCATACAGGCTGCAGATTAAGTCACCAAAAAATTAGTATACACATCATGTAGATACATATAAAATACAGCAAAATATTAATGTAAAAACACACTAGCAAAGGCACTGTCTGCAATTATGTAAAAACTACACAATACAGATCAAAAGAGGTAAGAAATTATACAAACAGAAGGTACTCAACAAATACAAAAATTCTGTCCCAATTTCACCTCATGAGGATAATATCTCATGTAATCATCTCAAGACTCTGATCATTAAATTAGAACTACTTTAAAAACAACTAAATTAACACAAAAATGTCAAATGGATTGACAAAGTCATCTATTACACAGCCAACACTAGCCTAGAAATGTGTATTCCCACAGCACATTATTCAGAATCATTCCTTACACCACAGGGATGGTTTAGTATGCCTCTTTAGAATGTCAACTTCTAAATGCCAGGAGCACATCCACTTGTCTTTAGTGAACCAGCAGTTAATCTGGGCCAGGTTAATCTGGTCTAGCCTTCAGGAAAAGGATGCTTAGTGGTTTGTTTCAAAAAACAAAAACAAAACAAAAAAAATAGAAAATTATTAAGGCTAGTAAACAAAATAAATCTACAATTGTGAATCTTTGCTACCCTTTTCCATTATATTTTATTGCTTCCTTTACTGATCTGTATTTTGCTTTTGGGAAGCCAAATATCTGAGCTCTCACTCTCACTGCTGTCAAGTTGGAACCAACTCACAGCTGACCCTCTGCTTGGTTTCCACGACTGTAAATCACATAGGAGGAGATGATCCACTTCTCTCCCTTGGAACCACTGGTGGATTCAAACTTACAGACAGATGAAGCCTTTTGGATTAGTAGCCTTACAGACAAGGCCACCAGAACCCCCTAAGCACGGACAACTAATGTAAATATTCTCTACATTTACCCTATCAAATTGTCAAATGGGCTTAGTGGGAGAACTATATGAAGTCTTAATAGTACAAGAAAAGTTAGTATTTGACTACATCTGCTACTCCACAGAAAAACTAGCTTTCATAAGTTTTTTTAAAAAACAACTCACTGCTGTCAAATCAGTTCCGATGCAAAACAATCCTCCATCAGGTTTCTGAGGCTGTAAATCTTAACAGGAAAAGACTGCCCACATCTTCCTCCACAGCCTTGGAAACCTGGCAGCACAGTTCTACCATATCCTATAGGGTCCCTATAAATTGGAATCCACTAGACAGAATAGTTACATCACTAAACAGAAACAACGTGAGGCGAGCTCTGGTGGCCTAGTGGCAAGAAGCTGCAACAGCAATCTCAGAGGTGCACGGTTCGAATCCACCAGATGCTCTGCTGCAGAAGGAGGAACAATCTCCTCCTGTACCAGTCAGATCTGATTTGACAGTACACACAAAAAATAAAGAAACACAATTAAAAAAAAAAGTGACATTGGCACTAACTACTGAAATAAAGTTGATTTGACCAGTAAGGGAGTGTGATCCCCACATCCTTACCCATTGCTTGTACTGCAATTCTGGCAGAAGTTTGAGTTCATGTGCCCTTCTGAATGCAATCATGGTTCTTTCCAGCCTCTGAAATGACAAAAAAAAACCCCAACCCCCCTCAGTTCATTAAAGATTCTCAGTAGGGATACTAGCTCTGACTACTGATCCTGGGGATACTGGCTCTGACAGTTCATTACAGGGATGATCACTAGGGGATTCTAGCTCAGACAGGGAACAAAACCAATTTTACATATGTTTTCGTTTTGTGGAGGTTTTTTTTAGTTTTATATATTTCTGAGAATTCAGAGAGGGTATTGCTAAGAGGTTGCGCCATAAATGTTTGGTTCATGAGCAAGTAAATTGGGCAGGTACATCAAACACAGCCACCTAAAGAAGGAGGCACCTTCTAACATAACTGTCAATACTGGGACAAACCCACCCTCAAGGACAAAGTAGTTAAGCATGAAGCTCTAGAAGTGGTCCTTAACTGGAAAAGAGCTGCACTTTGGTCCTTCTTTCAGATCACTGTCTCTTCTAATCTTTACCTTCTCTCTGAGGGATTTATTACTTGTCTTCTTAGCAAATCTCTCCAAGCAAAAGGTGATGTAACACTTCCACATGGCCTCTAGAAAAGTCAGAAAGATTGCTGTGTAAGTTACCAGTTTTCTAAAGTCAACATGTAACTTTTTATCAAGAGGAAAAATCTTCTGGAGCACAGTTTATATTAGCCTGATGAAAAATAGTTATGCCTATTACAGGCAATTGAACATCTCAAATATTTGGAAAAGGCAACTAAGTAACAACATATACAGGAAAATCAAAAACTTTCTCCCTATTAGAAGCCTTATCCACTTTGTCTTTATATCCCAACATTACAAAATAAAAATTAAATCTATTGTCAAAAGACTTTGAGAGTCCTTTGGGGATGCAGCTCACAGTGAGCTACACTGCTAACCAAAGGCCACATGCTTCCAGTGGTCTGGATCCAGCTCTTCAGGACAAAAACAGGCAATAAGTTAGCACCAACTCAACAGTGTGAATTTGAATTTTAATTTAAAATTATCATTATTTCCTAAATATCATTTCCTCAAATAACTGAACTAAGTACCATTTCATTGCAGTTCTTTCACTACCAGAAAAAGAACGAACAATGTGCAGAGTAAAGCATACTGTAAACTGTATGACAGAGACTGCTGCTACTGATATTGAGAATGGGAAGGAGCAATTCAGATGCACATTCATAATGCCCATCACTTCTCCAGCACGCCACCTGTCAAGTTCACCTGTAGGCAGAGTGTTCACTGCCTCATCATAGACAGCACAGCAGCGCTCCTCCTTCTGGTCCATCTCCACTGTCCTGGCTTGTTTTGTTGCAGGCTGCTCCTCTCCTGGCTGAGACTCGACATTTAATTCTCGCCGGGCCACATAATCCCAAGTGAGAGGGTCATCTGTGTGAAGCGTCTGAAGGCTGAAAAACACACTTACTGTCTCCTGCCCTATGTCCAAAGCCTCACTTGGAACACCAAACACAGAGACATTCTTCTGCACTAAAAATTCACACAGGACACTTCTTGAACAACTTTTATCACCAGAGACATTTAAAACAGGTTCCCTGGAGAAATTTTATTAATGGATCAGAGCTGTCGCCCATCCACTGTGTTTCAGACCATTTCACACACCCTTAGCAAGTGTTAACTTGCATATGATCAAATTGTTCAACATCAAACAAGCAGTTCAAGCCTCTCTGTGAGCCCCTAAGCATTAGTGTTTTATCTTGATTTTTTACAGTAATAAAGGTAGATGAAAAAGCAAAACTATCAAGCTAATTGCCCACCAAAACCTTTAAAGATACAAAGAGTAAACTGACCCACGTTCTTTCACTCTCCTGTCAAAGTGAAACTGCTATCCAGGTGTGGAAATACCTTAAAGGCAGGCTGTAAATAATTTCTAAGTAAAATTGCCTGCAACACGTATTCATAAATATCAATAAGCACAATTCATCTTCTTGACAAGACATACCAACAAAGAACAACAACGTTTTCATGTGAAATCTCAGAATATATTTATTACTGAATTGAAAGCAAACTATTTCTAAAGGAAAACAATGAGTCAGACAACTTCTCTAAAAACTTTATAAACTTTTCTTGCAAGGATTTAGTTTGGTTATCTGCTTTTCCTAAATATTCAATCCCAAACAAATCAATAACATTATCAGAAATAGTCACTTTTCATAAATTTACTTACTCATCATAAATTTCTTTTTGCAAATCTTTGGCGAAATCAAATAGCTGTGCAATTGAAAGCAATGACACATGAAATTCTGCACCTACAATTTGAACAGCAAAGAAGTGGAGGAGATTCACTGTCAACAGGACTCTTAAGGATCACTTTACACTCTAAGCACCATTTCTAAATACTGAAGTTAGATTTTTAGATCTTCTAAATTGGAAAATAGAACCAAATGGAAAAGAAATCACTCATAGTCCACACAAACAAAGCCATTATTATTTTGGCATATTCATAAAGCTTTCTTTATTCTAAGCTTCTTAAGGACAATAGGTGAATGCGCTGAATCATCTACTTCTTTTACCCTTTCTACTTGCGTTTAAATGCTCAATAAAAATGGAAATTTCAATTAATGGAAAAGATACCTTTCATAAAAGAAACATGTTTCTGCATTCAGAGCTTTATCCAGTCTACTGGGAATTTTTTAAATTAGTTAAAGTCTTTTTCATAAATATATTACCTCCCTTTCCCATCACCACATTCTGCTTCCAAAAGTTACTTACTTTTAATAATTCTCACAGAGTTTTTGTAGATGATCCGTGCCAGTTCACCAGTTAGGATTTCTTCAGTATAATCAAGATTTTCCTAAATAGTGTTATAGTAAACGTAACTTAATGGGCTAGGACATTATACAGAAAGAGTCCTACCATGAAACGAACAATTCTAAGTAATCTGTGCCATTCTTAGGTCCATTATCTCATTTGTAAAATGTGCTGCTTGAAGAACATCACTCATCTTTTTTAGGTTTGCAATTAATGTAATAAAACAAAACATGTATGAATGATTGAATGAAAATCAATATGCTTTGCAAATAACATCACTGATCCTGTAACTGTTTTCTCAGGTTTCTGGAGTAGCCACAAGATCACACAGCTTCCCTCCCCACTTAGATCAGAATAGGACAGATTAGGCCTCTTCTCCACTTAAGACTCAGAGTCAGTCAGCCCTAATGTGCCTTGTTTACTCCTCTACATATGATATTATTTTGGGGGGAGAAGTTGTGAATTGAAAATCACTAACAAGTGATGAATGATATCAAAGTTCCTTTACTGCCAACAATTTAATTTTTTGTAAGTCTCTAACATAAAAATATTACATATTAAAATATTTAAATTATATTAAAAAGAGAACAAAGATGACTAAAAAGCACACACTAATGAGTCTCCATTAGTTCATTAATACATACATCATTTAATGAACTAATACCAGTGACCTCTGTTGGTCTAGTGGGTACAGAGTTGTGCTACTAATCTACAAGTATGTCTCTCTGGCAGCTCAAATTCACTAGAGACAGGCTTCAAAGGTGATAGGTGAATAATCTTCTCCTATGTGATTTATAGTCTCTGAAAACTAAATGAGGGTCAGCTATGAGTCAATTCTGAATTGACAGTAATAAGGTGTTCGATTCTTCTTAATACAGTATTAAAATTATACACTATTAAAAATAACTTTTTGCCATTCCAACAGTAAAAATTATTTAAGATCACTGAAGTTATACTATCTAAATATTTTTATACCTAAGCACGTTTAAATAGATGACTTCTCGACTCATCTTCAAGTTTCAAAATAAAACACGAAGTTAGAAATAAAGCTACATTCCAAAGATTTTCTTACTTCTACACATACTCAAAACACTACATAAAAAAATATTAAAATACACTACGTATAACTAACAAATGAGAGTATGACCTTACCACTTCCATTTTTGCTTGGTCAAATTCTTGCTTTTCCTTTCTCATTTTCTCAGCATGCATCAGTTCCATCCTAAAGTACTACAGAAGACAAATAATGAACGGAAAATCTTTGGAGAAACAAAGGTGAGAATTTAAAGGGGTGAGACTCACGGAAACAGAACCACCTGAATAATGAAAATGCTTATGTACTTGTAAAGAATGTAGCCAATGTCACTCAAAAATTTGCATAAAAATTATTAAATGGAGGGGAAAAAAGAATTTGTAGAATCCCATTTTAAAGAAAGAAACTCTATGCTGCAAGTATTCACAATATGCATAAAAATATGTGGTTAAGAGTGAAGTACTTTTTTTCTGTTTCTTCTGTTTTACTAGCATATTCTCTGTGCACAAAAACATATTCTAACTACTTTTGATCGGAAAAGGCAATAGATTTACTGCCATTTTAGAAAATATTAAGTACAAGAATTTATGAGCACCTCCAAAATCATATAAAAAATGACACTTTACAACTTCCCTCCAAACAGCAGGGAAGACTTTCTCTTACAAGTTTTTCAAGACAGCAATGTGATATCTAAAAATATATGAAAAATATCTTTACAATAAAAAATTGTCACTGAACAAGCGTAAAAAAGAGAGTACTTCTATAAATCCAATTAGTATCAAGATCTATACCTTCTTCTTTTCTTTATACAGGCTTAATTTTCATTATCCTGAGAAATGTCTAAGAAAAGCACGCCATTTCCAAAAACATACATCAGCATTTCCTTTTCTCAAGTGTCTGGCCATCAATATTAGAAAGCACCCTCCTCTAGGAAGCAATAAATTCCCAAAAAGTAAGGAGTATCAAACAGTGACACCTAGCTCAAAAAAGAGAGGAGGAAAAAGAAAACCCTAAAAAAAAATCCAACCAGAAACAAGAGAAGAAAAAAGGTAAGTGAGCTCTGATCCTTGCTTCTAAATAAAAAGTAAGATTCTGTCTCACTCTCTTATCAACCCCAATGACAAGGTGGGGTTTCCAACCTCTAACGATCTGGAAGCTGGACAATGCCCACACTTACCACCAGCCAAGTAACAAAGAGCTGTTTCTCTCATCTTCCTTATCTCCTTTTCCCCAGAAGCTCCTATATATTTATCCCCAGTCTCCATAAACTGAAGTTTGCGTTAAGTTAGCAACTTAATATAAACAGCAAACTTAATAAAGGATGTGTCTCCAGACAACCAAACGGAGCCATCACTCTCTCATCCTCATCCATGTATACACTCACTTCTTGATAAAGTTTTGGACACTCTGGATGAAAGCGTAGAGCTCGAAGAAAAAGTTGTCTTGCACTCTCTGAAGACAAGCGATCTTCCATCTCCCACTTGGCAGCCATGATCCACAGAGCTACAAATGGAAAAAATTATCAATCGTCAGACTTTTTTCTACCAATACAATTTATGTCAAACAAAGAGCAATGCTCCACTCTGAATACTCAAAGAACTTTTTAATAAGTCTTAATGAAAGAAAAGGTAGCTCTGGTGGCCTAGTGATAAGGATCTGCACTGCTAACCTGAAGACATACAGTTCAAATCAACCGGTTGTTCCATGGGAGAAAGATGCGCAATCTCTTCATGTGTAATTTACTGCCTCTGAAAACCTGCCGGAGGGTCAGTTATGTTTGGGTTTTGTGTTTTGTTTGGTTTTTTTAGGTTTTCTTTTTAATTATTATGTTTTGTGTATATGCCATCAAATCAGATCTGACTGGTACAGGAGGAGATTGTCCCTCCTTCTTCAGCTGAGCCATCTGTGGATTCAAACTGTGTACCTCTGGGATTGCAGTGCAGCTTCTTGCCACTAGGCCACAAGAGCTTGCCTGGAGGGTCAGTTACGAATCGTTCCCAACTTGATGGTACATAAATAACAACAACAACTGAAAGAAATGGATATGGGGACTACTAATGGCTATCTGCAAAGTTGCGACTTTAAAATCAGAAAAATTTTGAGCCAAATTAATATCTATTCAATCTAGATGATGGGTCCATAAGCACCTGTTAGTGTATGTCATTAAATGTAAAACATGCCTACTCCCAGCCCCACACTGGCCCAGTCCATTGCCATCAAGTCACTTCTGATTCACAAAGACCCTCTATCAGGTCTGAAGTCACAAACCAGAGAATGTCCTTCTTTCTCTTGAACAGCATCTGGCAGTTTCAAACTGTCACTGTCTCAGTCAGTAGCCAAAAAAATACCCCATGTACTACAACAGGGATCCTAAAATCTAAGAACATAACCATCTGAAACCATATATACGTTTTCAAATTGTAAAAAATTCCAGAAAAAAAAATTTCTCCTAAGTATTATTTTCTCTATTTTTTAAATAGTTTTCCCCTTTTCCCTACTTGAAATAGCTCCTAATTTTTGAAATTTTAATCGTACCTGCTAGAAATAAAGGCTTAAAAACAAAACCTTGAGTTAAATTCTAGTCATTTCCCTAGAAATTAAGTAAAGATCAGCTGTGCTGGTAGGCAAGCTTGCTTCCAATGAAAAGGATCCACATCCTTTGTGGTTGCTAACCACATCTGGACCAGGAGGGGTGTAAATGGTGAACAGCCACTGCTCTGAGCTTTCTTAAGCATGGTTCTTTCTAGGACATCCATAAAGCTTCTAAGGCAGAATGGCTCCCACATCCAATGGCACAGCATTGTTCCCTCACATCTGAACTGTCACTATACACAAGTCTCAGACCACTATGCAGAGTCTGATGAAAAAGCACATCTAGTGTTGCTCTGCTATATCCTCCTGAGTAAACTGGCAAAGAAAGGGATGTAGAGAAAGGGACTTCTAATGGCTAACTAGCCTATCAGAGTCTTGTGCACTATGAAATGCTTGGTTGAGACACTTTATACCCTGACGATCAAACACTACTCCTCCACTATATAATAATGTGTCATTCACACATAACAAGTCTTTCTCTTATAAAAACCTACTCGGTGCCAGACATTTCTAAAACCTGTTATTAATATTTTCCCCTTAATTTTTTTTTTCTTGGTGGAGACGAAATGTCTTTATTGCTGGGGCGGCTGGTGCTCAAGTGCTCTTGGTGGGGTGGGTTCGCTTCCTCTTCACCATCACCAGCTCCTTCTGGCTGCGCAGGATGGGGTTGGCCATGCACAGATCGGGCCAGTACTTGTTCTTGCGGATCATCTGGCGGCTGCTGCTGAGCATGGCCGGGGCATTCCTGTGGATGGTGGTCTGCTCAAAGTAGGTGGCCGGCTTCCTCTGGCCTGACTTCCACTTCATCACCACCACGACCCCCTTGTTGTCGGGGGCGGCTCCACGCCCACGGTCTTGTGGTAGATCAGCCTGTTATAGCAGAATGAGTTGCAGGCTTTGAGGTTACTGGGCTCAGTGCTGTAGATCAGCTTGTTCCTCTTAAGTCAAGAAGCTGGAGCAGTTACACACAACCATCCATTGCAGACGGGCAGACATGGCAGCAGCTCCTCTCTCTGTGGCAGCCGGAGGTGGAAAGATCCCCTTAAAATTTTTTAAATCCCTCAGATTTTGCCCATTTACAAATATAAAACTTCTCTAAGTACCAGAGTCTGTCTTACCATCACTATCTTGTCTGCAGTCAGGACTTGGCACAGGACATGCAACAATGAACTGAGAGAAAACTAGTTATCCAAAAACTGCTCTATCAACTGCCTAAGTGCATTCCTCACAACAGTGCTTAACTCTGAATAAAAGAGTTTCTTAAAAAATTCATCGTACCTGGCTTATTTGAATGAATGGCCAACATGGCAGAGAATACCTTGCTAAGTTGAACTTTGGCCCCCTGGAAAAAAAAAGGAAAAAGAAAACTTATAATTTTTGCACAAGATAATCACTGCTCTTAATATCTAATATGCACTTGTATTCTCACCAATTTTGTAATGTAAGGGAGTGAATGACACTATTCCTAGAGACTTAGAAATACAGACACATAGTTCTCTTCTACCTACACCGTTTAATACAAGCATTTTAAATAAACTGACCTTTTCTGAAAAAATACTCCTAACAATCACCAAGCACTTTTTTTTCAAGTGACATGGCATTCACTTACGAAAAGTCATTCTGATATATAAATTCTATTACACTGAAGTCCAGCCCTCTTAAATTCCTTTTAACTCTACACCTTCGGAGAAAACATGCACATCAACAATCAAGTATGAGGTTTTAGAAGGCAGACAAACTGAAAGAAAAGGAGGAGTAAGACATGGCTCTCAATACGCACCCATTTCTTACAAAAAACTATGTAGGACAGCCAAAGTTGAACATCATCCTAAAAAAAAAAAAATGCTGTAAGCTGCCAGAATGTCAACTCTACAAATAATACATCTTTGCATTGATTAACTTCTCTCCAGTACATCTTCCTACCACATTCAAAGGCAAAAAGCTATCCAAATTATATAGTGAAGTTCTTAATGGTACTGAAGGGGAAAAACATAAAGCATGCCATTCCCAGGAATCCAAAGCACATATAAACATTGCACACATGATCAGCTGACAAGTCAAACCTGAAAATAATCAAGTGAGTAAGGAGCAGTCTCCACTTCTAATAATTTATGAATACTCTGAAACTGCAACCCTCCCTACTCTTCACAAAGACCTGAAGGCAGAGAGTTCAAATCACCCTGTTGGGTTTTTTTTTAAAAAAAAAAAGATGAGGCACTGTCCTCTCAGTCTCTGATGGAGGAGCTACAATCAACTCAGTAGGGTTGGGCTTTTGTTCTACTCTACAATGTACTTTGAAATATATCCCCAGACAATTATGTGATTCTCAATTATAACAAATACAGTGCATTTGGCACTATCTTCACAGAATAATTATAAAGCAGTGACATTTTCTTAGTGACCTATTGTAAATTGGCCCAACAACTGTATCATGAAATACTAAGAAGTGTGATACCGAAAATAAGGCAGAACACATTTTAATACTTAAGCCATATATTTATAAAACATATCTTATATAGTTAAGGAGTCGCCAATTACTTACTTTCCACTTTGATGAAGCACGTTTAAAGACACCTTGTACACGCTGTACCATTGAATTCTCTATCTCATCCTTCTTAAATGAATATCCAATGCGCTAAAAAAAGGGACATAATAATACTGCCTCAATTTAACAGCTTTTATCAGAAACAAAATTTCTAGTCATCATTTAACTATACTGACAGAGAAAGCAAATAATTACAAATGACTATTACAGGCATGTCACCACACAATCTGTCAAGGCCAACTGGCTTCCTAAATCTAGTTCTAAGCCACAGAACCACAATGCTTAATTCTTTGTCTCCCACTTAATTTACAGAATATCATTTACTTACAGATCTTCTTCTCCGGATCAGCTCCAAAAGATTAATTTCATACTATGAACAAAAATTACACAGAGAAAAAGAAAGATTTTTATAACTTCTCAAACACAGAAAATCTATTTAGTGAAAATTATAAAGTAATTAAAAATCAAGAATATAAGAATATTTTATATCAAGATGAGTAATTTATAGACAAATAACTAGCAATCAATGAAAACTCATATTAATGAAATTCACAAACACATAGTAATCAGCATGTTTCTGAAAAACAAAGCAGTTGCTGTGCAGTCAGTGCAGACTCTTGGCAACCCCATGCATGCTACTGAACTGTGCTATATAGTGTTTTCTTCTTTCCTATAGGGTTTTCAGTGGTTGGTTTTTCAGAAGTAGACAGCAGGTTTTCCTTTCAATGTGCCTCTGAGTAGATTTGAACCTCCAAGTTAGCAGCCAATCACGTTAACCACTTTAAGACACCTGTTTTTTTCAATAACTAAAATTCTAAGACTTACAAAACCTACTGCCTTCCAGTTGACTGCAATCACAATGGCCCTCCAATGAGTTTGTGAGGCTGTAAGCCTTAACAGGAGGAAACTGACCATCTTTCTCCTGAGGAGCAGCTGGTGGATACAAATTGCCAAACTTCTGGCTAGCAGCGCAAACTGCTACTCACTGCACTACTGGTACTTCTTTAAGAGCCACACAGAAACTAAATTCACTGGTGTAAGTCAATACCAATTCATAGTATATTCACAGAACAGAACTGCCTCATTGGGTTTTCAAACCAATAAATCTTAACAGGGACAGACTGTTTCATTTTTCTCACTTGCAGTATCTGGTGGATCCAAGCCACCAACTTTCAACACGTTAAGCTACCACTGCACTATAGCTCTAAGAGCAAAAATAATACAATTTTTCACTCAACAGTCTAGTCCACGAGAGTATATTCAGACTGGGGTTTTTTTATTATTATTCGTTCTATGCTTTACATCTCCTCACGTGCATTTAACTGCCTCTGAAAACCCGGAGGAGGGTCAGTTATGGGTCAGTTCTGGCTCCGATACACAACAACAACAACTGTGCTTCTTGTGACTGATCATTCCTATACAATGTCTAAGACTTATTATTTTTTTTTTAAAAAAATTCCCCAAACAATATTTTAGCTGATGCATCAACAAATAAAGCACATATACAGGAGTTACTAGCTGAAACAGGAGTGAAAATCTGATTGGCTCACCACACTTCTTCCCCGTGCAATACTACCTAGGCCCTCTAAAAAAATCTATGCTACATAATTCTCTCCCAAGCTTTTGCTTAAAATTATTAGACATAAAAAGTTCAGAATCTCCTAAGACTGCATATTTCATTTCCTAACATTTTATGAAACACTTCAGGCATACAAAACCACAAGCATCTTCCACACAATCCTGTATTTTAAACATTTTGAAATTTTTATTAATTTTATACTTTTTTAAAAATTTTATACATTTTATAATTATACATTACAATCCCAAATAGTTGGACATGTTGCAAGGAGGGACCAGTTCTAGGAGGAGAACGTCATGCTTGGGAGGGTGGAGGGACAGCACAGGAGGGGAAGACCTTCTATGAAGTGGACTGATTCAGTAACTGGGGTAATGGGGATAGGTGTGTCGGAGACAGTGAGATTGGCATAGGATAGAGAAGGGTTTAGGGCTGTTGTACACAGGGTCACTATGAGTCACAGATGACTCAACGGCACATAACAACAACAGCATAATCCTAATTAAGCCCACATTGTACTGTATTGGCTTGATTCTTTTTCCCCCAGAAAGAAAACATTCTGAATAAAAGCCCCTATACACACATTTCTGATTCTATTCCTCTCCTTCCTCAGAAGTAAGAACCTGACTTTGGTATCTGTCATTTCCAAGCATGACTTTATGCTTTAACATGTAAAATTCTGATACACTGTACTCTGATCTACTAATTCAATTTAAAAAAAAGAAGAGCATTCAGTTTGGCCAGGACTATAAAGTCTTAGCAAAGCAATGTTACTCTCAACTCTTTCCTCTATCTTTTACCTATTCAAAAATTAACTGTTTAATCTCCAGTTCTAGAATTCCGTAAAAAATTGCTATCACGTTCACCATTCTGTTCTAAAAGGTGAGGATTAAGAGGTAATGAAATTGTTCACTTACTTGAACATAATTGATAAAATCTTCTTTAACAAGGGCTCTTCGTTGTATTTTATACTCCAGATCTGACACTTTCTTAATGATAGCTCTGTGGAGAAAGACATTTAAAATTTAACAATCAAAAAGAGTAAAAGTTGGGGCACTCTGGTGGCCTAGTGGCAAGGAGCTGCAACTATAATCCCAGAGGCACACGGTTCAAATCCACCAGATGCTCTGCCGGGAAAAGGAGGGACAATCTCCTCCTGTACCAGTCAGATCTGATTTGATGGTACACTCACACAAAAATAAAATTTAAAAAAAAAAAAAGCGTAAAAGTTAAATAACTTTTTCTTAGTCTCTTTATTTATATATTTTTGAAACACTTATCAAATACATTAATATGAAGGGATGCAAACATCCTTTCCCATGATTTCCATATTAACTGCATTAGAATTAATTTTCCTTTTTTTTTTTAGTTAATTACCTTCATCTATCACCAGGACCATTTACATCCCCATCAGTAACACAATACAATACTTACATGGGATACTAGAAAAGCTTCTTTTCCCCTCCAAACTCGGAATGCTTAGATGTCAATAATAATCAAGTATATTTTCTAAATAATTTTATTTCTGGATGTTCAATATGTAAATTACAACTAGACTGAAAAAGTGTATTACCATAAAGGATTTAGGGAAGAAATTTTCCTTTAGCTTAACCATGAACACAGAACAAACCCATAAGAACCAAATCCAAACTCGCTGCTGTCGAGTCTGTTTCTATTCATGGTGATCTCCACCAAGGTCAGGGGCTGCAAATCTTTACCAATGGACTGCCTTTCTACCAGAGAGCAGCTCCTGTGGATCCCAATCTTAGAATTTAAACAAAAGATGGAAGACAAATATCTATGGCACCATTAATACTACTCACTGCCATACTCACACCTGACATTTTTGTGGTTTTCAGAGACTGTAAACCACAAAGGAGAGACTGCTCATCTTTCGCCTACAGAGCAAGCTGGTGGATTCGAACCACTTGCTACACGGTTGGCAGTGTGCAATTCCCTTGCCACTAGGCCACTAGAGCTCTTTTTGATAATAATAAAGCTTAAGCATTTAAGAACCTAAAATTCTCTGGTATTGCAGCCCTTAGGTATTGCCTTAAACAAGAGGCTCAGCTGAATCTACCATCTGCTCTGAGGGAGAAAAAGGCACAGACTTCACCCAGTAAGACCTACATTTTCAGAAACCTGACGGAGGGTCATTGTGAGTGGAAATTGGCTTAATGACAGTTGAGAATTGGTAAAAATCTACACTGTTTCACAAGGAAAGGTTTATGTTTTTACACACATAACTAAAGTTACTGCAAAATAAATAGCAACAGAAGACAACTTTAAAACTATTAAGCTTGTGGAGGAGGAGAGGGGGATTTATCATGGGCTTTGTATAATTTGATGGAGGGATGAGTGAAATTGAAAGAATTTGTTCTTGAAAACAATGTATTTTAATTTTGTAAATAAACTAGAAGAAAACTTTTTAAAAACCCAACCTTACTAACCTCAATTAACTTTTTTTATAAGGGAGCTCTGGTGGCTTAGCGGCAAAGCTGCGCTGCAATCCCGAAGGCACATGGTTCGAGTACAGCAGCTGCTCCGTGGAATAAGGACAATCTCCTCCTGTGTCTCTGATAACCCGCTGGAGGGTGAGCTATCTGCCGGTTCCGACTCGACGGGACACAATAACTAGTTTATATAAGCTCAGTTAACTTGGACAAATAAATTACTTCATTCCAATTACAAGTTGGAGTAAAATAGGATGTCAAATGGTCCCAGTCTGCAAGGGCACGAAGGCTTTTTCTCCCCTCCCGGATCTTCACATTCACATCTCTAGAACATACTTACCGCAAAAAATGTCATTACCCCGCACGGTAACCTAAACGTTTACTATTTCTAACTCTCAGAGCACAAAAAGCACTGTGCGCTCCTTTAATCACTTTTCTTAATCAGTTTTATCACTTTAATAAGTTTTTAAACCATTTTTGTAGCCCCAAAACTTGGCTCCACAAATGGCCGTCAATTATGTCGATGGGTACATGGATGGATCATCGTACAATGGATGAGAAATTAATTAACGATATCATCAAAAACCCGGAAAATGGGCTTCCACCACGTTAGGCAAAAGCAAAGCGCCCCATCCCTGCACCGTGACGTGCACACGCCCCCAAGCCCCGCTCCGCCGGCGCCAATGCTCCGCGTCCCCAGCCCTTCCTCACTTAATCTCCGCATGACTGAACAGCCCAATGCGCTCCAGCTGTTCCAATTCTGGGAGCCGATCTTCTATACGTTCCTGGATTATCTCCGCCATAAAGTTCGAACTCAACACGAACAGTCGAGAAATTCACAAAACCACGCGTAGGAAAAAACCAAGCTCCGCTGCCAGAGAAGCTGCCTCGACGCTCGCACGCACACACGTAACTTGCGCCCTAACTCCCGCCTCTTCCGCTTCCGGTAGCTCGGCCCCGGGTCCAGGATATGGTGGGCGGGAAGCTCTGTGGTTCTTGGGGCAGCTGTCGCCTCCCTGTGGCTGAAGGTGGGATTGCTTGCAGCGTGAGCCCCCTCCTGTCGATAGAACGTAAAACCTGATGGCCGGATTGGAGGGGCGGGGCGGGGATGAGGCGTGGCCCGGGGCGCGCGGGGCTGGACGTGGGCGCCGGTAGGTAAGGCACGCACGCGTCTGCGGAGCTGTTCCCTGAGGCTAGCTTGAAATGTGTTTGTCTTTGGCTTTTGTTTTTCTGATTCTGTGCTGTGCCCTCGCTTTTGAACATCAAGAATACAGAAAAAAGCAGAATGTAACATAAAGTACTGGCGTTGGTGCCTCCCGGTCGGTTTTCAAGGACAAGGAAGGAGATAGCCTATCTTTCTCCCGAGGAACAACGCGATCCGAATCGCGGACCTACAATTTAACAGTGCAACTTCTTACCACGAAGCCACTAGTTCTTGTTGTTGTTGTGTACCATCGAGTCAGAACCAACCCATCCAGAGGGTTTTCAGAGGCAATTAATCGTAAGGGAGTAGATTGCCCCCCTTCCTCCCGTGGAGCAGCGGGTGGATTCGAACAGCTGTCCTTCAAGATTGCAGCGCAGCTTTTAACCAGTAGGCCAGCAGATCTTCCTATTATAATACGGCTGCTTTGAAGGACATGGCAAAAAATAAGGCTCCAGGAATAGATGGTATACCAATTGACA